CCTCTGCTTTTTGCATCTTTTCTTGCCACTAAGCAACTCTGAGAAACGTCTGGCTTCATTTCATTAGTAGCTCCCCTTTGGTCACCAAAGACAGCAGAAAAACAGCAGAGAGATCCTCCATAGACTTCTGCAGATGAATTGATTGGAAACAGCTACCAGGTTTGATATCTGAAACTACCAAGAGCATGTGCATTGCTGAGTAACTCACTTTACTTCTGCCTTATCTCAGGTTCTTCAGGGCAAAACATATACGTAGAAAAAGGAAAAAGACACCACGTACTTGGGCATTTACATCTGGCTCTCAAAGCAACCTTCTAGTCCTTGAAGGAGCTTACAAGCAGGAGTGGGACTGACTTGTTGCATGGTCTGACAGTGATAGGACAAGGGAGAATGACTTTAAACTAAAAGAGGAAAGATTTCAGCTAGGCATTAGGAAGAAATTTTTTACTCAGAGGGTGGTGAGGCACTGGCACAGCTGCCCAGAGAAGCTGTGGGTGCCCCATCCCTGGAAGTGCTCAAGGCCAGGCTGGATGGGGTCCTGGGCAGCCTGAGCTGGCAGCTGGCAATCCTGCTCATGGCAGGGGGATTGGAGCTAGATGATCTTTTTGCCCCCCTCCAACCTAAGCCATTCTGTGATTCAATGATATGGTGATTAATGGGCACCAACCACCTTTGCTGCCTTTCAGCAGCCCTCTATGTTCTGTTACTACCAAAGGTGACACAAGAGCCAGCAACAGCTTCATTACTGCCAGGAGCTCCCAAATGTATGGACGGTTCCTCTTCTGAGTGTGCAAACAAGGCTTCCTGAGCACAGCCCAGTGCCTAGCACAGATTACCTGAGCTCCCTACGCGTCAGTGAAGTCCCAGTCACCCATGGCATGAGTGACCAATCCAGAAAGGCTCCTTTATGTTCATTCAAAAAACACGCTCCCTTCTATATCAGGAGCCTCTGGCATTCCTCACATGCTCTTACACTGACCCTACCTCCTGCTGTGTGCAAACTCCACCGAACCAGCCCCACAGCCAATAAAAAAGGTAAAAAACTTCTTCAGACTCATATGGCTGAAACGGATGCAGATCCCTGGGCCTCCTCTCCTCCAGGCTCAACTTAATTAGGGAGCAGCTAGCAAACCACAAGTGTGCTCACAAAAGAAGCTTGCCTGTGAAGGGCTTTGACTGCAGCCCTTTGTAACTAGTCATAAACATCTGGTGCCTGGCGAGTTTGTCTGCTTCTTGGAAGGGGTTTCCAAAGACAAAATTTCTGTAGCTTGCACCTGAATTCTCCACAGTGCACCGTATACCACTCAGATCCCCGGCTCCTTTTGTAAGCTGCCAGCTTTGCAAAAAAAGCCATTTCTGGCAGTGCTTTCTGTATCATAGCCCCCCACCCACTCCAGACATTTCAAACAGTATGCATAGTCCCACGGGGAACAATTGTTCCCCAGGTTTCCTCTTGCATGTCAGCAGCTTGATAAGCAGTCTTGCAAATTCAAATGATAGCTCTGGTTCCGGCTCTGTTGGCGCGATGAATCAGAGCCCGCAGTGCAGACTCCCTGACTCAGAGGAGGAGGAAATAAGGATAATGCTTTTCTCCTTCAGCAGTCCCTTTGCCATTCACGTGCATGCATGCATGAGTGTGTAGCTGTGCTCCCGAAGCCAATCTCAGGGAGACTTCCTTAAGCATCTGTTGAAGGTTGAATGATCTCATGTGCAGCTTGTAATGATGGCAACTAGCAAAAATTGTTCCCATCTGAAAGCTGCCCAGCACTGCATGATCCAAAATGAGCTGCTGACCTCAGAAGAGATCCCAGTGGACAAAGCACCACATCACAGAAGCTCGCTCTGCCGCAAGCACCACTAATTGTCCCCTTGTCTGCAGGCTGCAAGTGAGAGCAGCTTCCAAAGGGCAGGGGAACTGTGCTTGTATTACTGAGTGGCTTTCTCCTAAGCCTCATTTCCAGTGTGTTTGGGGATGTGCTGTCCCTGTCCCTGCCTTGATGTACCTTTGGTCACGTGAAGGACAGAACTATGATTGTCCATCTCAACATTAAGTCACCCCTAATATGCACTGCCAATCACAGAACTGTTGTCCATCTCAATAATGCAACTCCCACACAAAACCAAACGCAGCCTCAGTGTAGGAAAAAGCAAATGTGCCATGAACTTGGATGCTCTGGCTGAATCTAACCCCAAAAGTGGCATTTCAAAGCCTGCATGTTTCTGTTGTAGCTGCATGTCCACAAGACAGTGTTGAAATTATGACCAGCTCACTGCTGTGGCTCTTATCCCCCAGTGAAGGTTGTAAGCACCAGCATGGTAAAAGGATCTTGATGGGTAAAAATTATGCTTCCATTTAAGAACCACTAATGGCACCTTGTGCATCTGTCACTGAATTAACATCAATTTGAAACCATACGTAAGCCAGGCAACTGGTTGAAGGGAACAGCTTGCTTACATTAGGAGGTCTGGCTGAAGAGAGAAATTAGGCACTCTTTCTCTTGAGAGGTTGTGCTCAGCTAGTAAGAAAGCAGATACTTTCTTGTGGGTATTCACATTTTTGCAGATTGTATTCCCTATGTGTAAGAGGGTGAGACCTCTCAGATCAATATGGGCAAAACAAGTGGGAGGCTGCAGCATAATATTTGGGCAGCAAAGGGAGAGTTATGGCAATGATAAAACACACATATATGTCCTGGAGAGTAGTGCTATGGAAAAAAAAGACCCAAACTTGAGCTATAAAGCCGCATTCACCCCCTCCTGGGGCAGCAGCCAGGGCCACATGGGGCACCCCGGGGCACGAGAAATAGCACATGGCGCCTGCACTTGGCTGGCTGAAAGCTCCCCCAGAGCTGCTGTGTTTGGACAGTTGGAATTAATCATGGGAGGGAAACGTAGCTGTATTTAATGAGCTGAGCAGTGTGAGCTTCGTTAGCAGAAAGGACAGAATAGGGCAGGATAAGTACATAGGGGACAGTCCCAGACAGAGGAGAACGGGTTACACAGGCATCTATCTCATCTACCTGCTTCTTGCACAAACCTCCCAGGCAGAACAGCTGCCAACAGCTTAGAAAAAGGGTTTCAAATTCCAACTTCATGCCAAAATGACAACAGGGGACACAGGGACAGAGGGATATTTTCCAAAGGGTGTGAACTGCTGCTTTTTAGATGCTTATGTGTTCCACATGTCTGAGCGCTCCCCAGACACGTTTTCTGCACACACTGTGTTACCATCCCACGGACAGACGGGCATCTGGAAGCACGGAGGGATGTTTTTGGAGGCCCACGTGGCAGTCTCATGCTTGACCCCTGTTGCTGTCAGTGGGAGTTTGGGCCCCAAACTTCCTTTTCTTGCCTTTGAAGCTCTACTGAAGTGCGCTGAGAGCCTGTAGGGGAGACAGAGTCTGCATTCAGATAGCAGTTCCCAGCTTAACCCTTTCACCCCAAGCCCATCCTCTCTCAGTAGGTAAAATAATGGGCATTTCTGTATTCCATTTTGTGATTACGCCTTCTATGCGGAAATTTGCTTTTCTATGCAAGGAATAAATCAGTCTTCTAAGGAGAGTTTAAAATCCAGCCCTTCAATCTGCCCATCTCTCTTGGCCTCCTCCTCCCTTGCACTCAGACCGCTGGGGCAGCTGGGAGCACCGAGTTCTCCAAAGGGAACACAGACAGTCACGGCCCCCACCCCTCCATCCATCTGTAAAAGGGAAAAAGGCAACAACAGCGATAAAAATTTGCAATCCTGACGCCCTGGGATATTAGCAAGGAGAAAATCTTTGTGTCCCCGCTGTGGCTTGCTTTATTTTCTAGATTTCACCTCCATTAGCAGCTTAATCAGTGCAAATCAAATCACGCCTCCTGTTTACCGATCTCCAGAGTGCTGACACTGGCAAGCGGCTTATCTCAGCGTGGCAGGACTCAGCTCCTTCCTTGGGGGTCGGACAGGAACTCGACAGAAGTTGCTCGTAGTGGGAGAGGGAGCATAAATCAGGGAGGGCTCCGCTGGTTCTGCTCCCAGCAGAGGTAACCAGCTCTGAGCGAGAGACAGGGGATGAAGAGCCTGGAAGCCAGGGTCTGTATTTGGGCTCAGTTGTTTGTAAGGATGTGGAGGTGGGCGGAGCTGCCCGCAGCGCGTTGGCCGCAGTCACGGCGGTGCTACTGCTGTTTCTACGTTGTGCTCCCTCCCTCCCTCCCCCGGCTGCAGCGTGGCAGGCAGGGACTCCTGCACAAGGCGTGGGTAAGGGCAGCGAGACGCAGCTTCTGCGGCGTCCCAGTGCCCGGGAGCTGCACACTCAGAGGGCGGGCTGAGTCCCTGAGACCTGCCCACGCTTACTCAGCAGCGAGGGCATCGGGTCACTCCGCGCCTCGTGGATTGGAAGGGACTTTTGAGGTTCGAGTCCGAGCCCCTGCTATAGCAGGATCCCTACAAGGAGGCAAGACTAACGCGACGTGCTGATTCCCGTGCTTCGGAGCCCCGCTGGCACGCTGCAGCCGTGCTCGACCTCCAGGCACCGCCAACACGAGTGCTGTCAGCACCCGAGATAAACTCACACCGCTTCGCTTCCGAGTGCCGGTGCGAGCCGAGCTAAAGGCAGGGCGGAGCGCCGAGTGCCCTTACAGTCCTCGCAGCGCAGAGGTGTGAGCCGCCCCGCGGGCTGCCTTACGATGCCTGTGTGCGCTGCAAAAAGCCTGAGGGCTCGGCTGAGCACCCTCGAAAGCAGGAGGAAGTGGGCAAATCCCCGCTTTCCTGTAACTTTTTCACGTTTGTTGTTAATCCGCAAGGTGAAAGCGTGCCGCGGGAGCTGAGAAGGCAGGGACGCGCCGGTCTGTCCCACCTCCCGATTCGCTCCGGTGCGGTGGGAGCGGGGCCGAGCCGGGCGGGGCGGAGCGGGGTGGAGCGGGGCAGCCCCGGCGCGGCGTCGGGAGAGAGAGCGGGGCGGAGGGCAGGGAGCGGGCAGGGCTTGGCGCGGAGGAGCCTCACCCCCTCCTTCTCCCGGCAGATCTTCCAATGGAGGCAGCTGGAGAACCTCTATTTCCGCGAGAAGAAGTTCTCAGTGGAGGTGCACGATCCGCGCAGGTGAGAACCGTGCCGCGCCGTGACGAGCCGGGGGCTGCGGGGCTCGGCGGGATCCCCCGTTGTGGTCTGGGGCTCGCTGCGCTTTGTGGCCGAACAACCCATAGGCTGGAGCCCTTCAGTAAGGGAACGCTCCCTGTGTGTCGGGTGGGTACGCTCCCACTGTGTCTCCCCCCCGGAGCCCGGTAGTGCTTTCTCCTTCGTTCCTTTGTGGCCCCGCGATGCAGCCCGGGGTTCCGCCGTGGCTCTCGGAGATGGGCGCCAGATTTTGTAGTCGCACGTTCCCTTGTAAATAAATATTCAGGAGTTCAGCGGAAAGGAATGGCACCGTACCAGAGGTTTACGGGCAGGCTGGATGCAAGCCCATCAGTCTTTTTGGCACAGTACCCTTTTTTGTTACTTTGGAGACCTAAAGTGGGAGAGAGCGAGTTCAAGTGACTGTGCTGTGTTCAGTGCCTGCAGTCTGCACACCTACTCGTTTGTCTTAGTAGATGGTTACTGCACACAGTGACCAGTGTACAAATTCCTCTGTAAGTTATTGTCACTGAAGTCGACATTCTGCTTTTCAATTAGACATGAAAAGGTCTGACAGAATCTCTTCCCAGACCGATTTGGTGTGCTGCTGTGTTTTGCTGATTGCTCGGCTGTGATCCTGTTTCACCTGTTTCCTGTGCCTATCTGTATAGTAGTACCTGTATTTTAGGGAAATTTTGCATGCAGTTTCTGTGACCATGGTCACACCACTATAACAGTGCCTGTATCCATACCATAGGTGCATTATCTTAAAGCAAAAACTGCAGGTAACCACTCAAACCAGACTGCAGTTCCAGGTCAGCAGAGCCTTGAAGCATCTGCTTAATATTAAGCATGTAAATAGTCGCATGAAATCTAGCAAAGCGAATTCCCAACGCTGAGAATGTTCTGGGAGACCTTCCAGCAGTGGGAGCTGGGAGTGGTGTGCGCCTTCCTCCACCAACTGTCCGTCAGCAGCAAGGCATCAGGAACGTGGGCTGTGAGCAGCAAGGAGCCCCTGAACGCTGAGCTGGCCGCTTCCTGTAAGCAGCAATTCCAAGAGAGAGCAGTCAGCTCTGCGACGTTCAAGTCGTGGTATTTGCAGCTCTGTGTCATGCATAAATTGTGACAGCGCAGAGGAACTTCTCTTTCCAGCCGTGTGTCATTTGTGTTTATTTGGATGATAGGAATTAATGACGCTGGAGGGCTTCTGCTTTTTATTCCACAACGCTGTTTCCCCAAATCAACACCAGGAGGACAAAGCTCTGTCTGCTGTGAACTGTTGTCTGTCTTTCTCACAATCAATTTTTGTAGGCAGAGAATACCTCCATTCATGTCATACTGTTACTCTGGCTGTTTTACAGCCGGCCACGTTGCAGCAGTGTGCTGGGAGCATGGCTCAGGTTGTAGTCAGCTTTCTGGCCGAGGGGAACGGACTCCTGTTTGGTGTATGGAGGCAGAGGAATAGCCACCACAGTGCTCTCTGCATTCCTCCCCATGTAGCCAAACCAGAGCCTGAGTCAGCAAAGCCACACTCGCAGGCATGGGAGAGCAAGCACAGCTCCATGGTTGTGGCCAAGGCTGGGCAGCACAATGTATGTTTTTGAGCCCTGTCTCTGCCTGCGGCTTCCTGTCCTGTGCAAACCACTTAACCTCTCTTCATCTCAGCTACTTATCCCAGAAAGGAGGGTCGTTGTGCATTTTTGTATTAGCGGGGTTGATTCCATAGCACATGTGGCATGCGTGGAGGAAAGACAGAAAAAGCACCCAAGAGCCATCTCTCATAGGCTCCTTTTGGGAGCCAGCTGTGAAAAGCAACTCAGCATCTTTGAGCAAGTGTGCAGACTTCCTTACAGGATTTACAAATTGGACAGGAAACATGTAGAGATACCAGAAAGAAAAAAACAACACATCATATATCACTGCTTTTAAAAGGAAAAAATTAATGATTTGAAGAATATGCTTCTGGGAGTTCAAAACAAGGACTGAAAGAGGTGGCACCAGAATTAAGGCTCCAGCCCATGTACCTGAATGCCTCAGAACCTTATATGCCAATATGCTGCAGTGATTTTGTGTACCTTAAATCAACAGAGCGTTCAGAATCCCCTCTCCAGCCTCAGTTCCAGGAGTACCTTGTCCCAGCACTGCTGCTTTCGTTTGCTGTCCAGCAATGGCAGTCAGGCAACCCTGCCTCTCATCCTCACCACCACGGCCATCAGCCTCCATCCTGCTGCACCCATGGAGAGTTTTCTCACGGCAGTTACGACAGCAGGTTTCCTGCTGTGTTTGCATGGCACAGGGTAGCACAGAAGGGGCTGAGCTGAGGATAGTGCTGAAACGTGAGACCCTCATTTCCCTTGCATTGGCTGTGGTTGTTTGTTCAGAGAGATTTCACTCCAATTTGTGGCTCTGCAAATTGATACGATAACACATTTTGCAGCCCTGAAAAGACCCTGACACAAGAACTCATCGATTTCCCAAGGAGATCCTGGCCAGCAGTTCACAATTCTACTCAGTTTTCTTTTTCTTTCAGACTTTGCTCTGTCTCAACTTCTTTTTACTTCCACCTTCACCTCCAGTTTTGGACAGCCATGCGTGAGGAGAGTTGAGGAGTGCAGATACAGCAGGGAAAGCACTGCTTTTTAGCAGACTTGGGCACTTCAGAGCACTGGGAGAAGAGTCAACCATCTCTCGTGCTGCCCAGTAGAGCTCCTGGGCTGTCCTGCACTGGCACCTCCACATTTGCATTGCTCAAAAGGGCCTGCTGGCATCCCTTTGTAGCATGCCCTGCTCCCCATGCTGGAGCTCTTTTCACAATGCATGTCTCTGAGGAAAAGGCCATAACAAAAGTATCACATTTCTGTGGTCTGATTTTTGGGTGTTCCTGTGTGGAGCCAGGAATTGGGCTTGATGATCCTTATGGATCCCTTCCAACTCAGGATATTCTATAATTCTGTGATTTCTGACCCAACCTGTGTACCATCACTCGCGTTTATTTCATAATCATATTCAACCACAAGACTCTTAACAGACTGGAGAGCAGAACCTCATTTATTTGGGGCTTGGTTTTCTCCAGCCACCATTGTGTCCCTTCAGTGGGAGGAGTTCAACAGACCAGGATCATAGAAGTAGAGTAGCCATAGATCGTAGAGTAGCCTGGGTTGAAAAAGACCTCAAAGATCATCAAGTTTCAATCCCCCTACCATGGGCAGGGTTGCCAACCACTAGACCAGGCTGCCCAGAGCCACATCCAACCTGGCCTTGAATGCCTCCAGGGAGGATGCTGTGAGCTTGTGCGGTATTTATCCAGCAGCGTGCTGGTGTCAAGGACTGTGCTGGCAGGGTTAGAGTTGAGGGATAGGAAAGAATAATCGGGTAGTTTTGTACAGCTGTAAAAGCATGGGGAAACCTAACCTGTATTTTTTGTTAATATTTGAGGACAATTGGGAGTCCCAAAGAGGAAACACTTAGCTCTTATTTTTCCTGTTTTTATATTCTCTCAGCTAATCGCTGAGTAGCATTCTTCTCTCCAGGGCACCAGGCAGCCCTCTCTGAGCCTCACAGCTTTCCATACCACATAGCAAGTCCTATCCTTACATTTACAAGACAGAAAATCAAGGTTTTTTCAAGATTTTCTTCCACATTCTGTAAAGCAACCACTAATCCTGTTGCTTTTTGGTAATTATTAGGGTCCTAATATTTGAGACCCGCCATCCAAAGCCAGAGGTGCTGGAAGGCGTGAGGACTTGGCCTCAGGTGTCTCAGCGCCTGGTGACACACACAAGATTCATCCAGGCTTGGCTGTGTGTTAGTGACTCCCCTGGGACTGCTAGGACTTGGGAGCATTTTAACTTTCACTATTTAAAGTAAAGGCTGTCTTGACCTGAGTAGCAGTTTACCACTGATCTCAAAACATTTTTCCCATCAGTGCAAGGGTATATTCAGTAAAGGTACTGCTTTTCACTGTGAGGTCTGTGGTTGTTTTCTGTGGCAGAATATACCTGAAAAACCACCGTGTAACCCCAACTCATTCTTTCCTCTTCTTTAGGGCATCTGTGACCAGGAGGACTTTTGGGCATAGTGGCATTGCTGTGCATACGTGGTACGCCTGTCCAGCACTGATAAAGTCCATCTGGGCTATGGCCATTAGTCAACATCAGTTCTACCTGGACAGAAAGCAAAGCAAGGTAAGCATGTTGAAAGTGAGGAAATAGATGTATTATAGGGGTGAGGTGTTCTAACTCCTCATGGCCCCAGCAAGGTCAAAGTGGCCATTCTACTGCCCTCTATTTCCACTTGAGATCAAAACAAGGCAAAATAACTCAAGATACATGCTGACTTTTGCCAGGCTAAAGGAATTTGTAATGAATTCGTGTCTGTGGGAACAAAGTTTGAGGGGAAGGTTGTACTGAACTATGGCCAAATTGGAGAAGCCAAAGTTTGCAGACAGATAGGGTCGAGTCCCTGTCTGGATGATTGCCACAGTGTCTTCTGGTTCTTCTTTGTGGTTCAGAGTAGCTTCAGACTACACCTGCCTCTGAATTCATCTTGCTATCCTTTGCCTTAACTATTTTATTTTCCCAGAAATGAAGAGTAGAGGATGTTATTTATTTCTCTCACTTCATAGAATCTCACAGCAGATGAAGGGGTAGGATGCTGACAGCCTGGCCTTACAAGATAGTCTTACTGTGGTGTTATACATACTGTAGTGCTCAATACACAGAAGAAACCAACTTGAAACCAAAGGGATGTGTGTGTATTCCCTCTAATTCCTTTCATCAGCAGTAATTTTAGTCATACCCAGAGCAGCAGGAGATGGCTTTGATCACTTTAAGATCACTTTGAGACAGAAGAGAGACTTCTCATGCAGACATCCATCTTCATATGAGCATGCAGTTGTAAAACTTGACAGATAAGATAAATATTTTGTTGAATGGGTACCTGTCAGTGAACATGGACAAAATTGTAAGTTCTCCCAATAGCAGATGAGAGTTTTCTGTCTCCCATTTCTACTCAGCACTACCAGAGCAATATATTACTCTCTCTGTTGCTCTCAATAAAAAAACTTGGCAAACAAACAGAAGTTTTTTTTTTTTTTTCTTTTAGCCAGATGGGTTGGCAGATCTAGCTGCAAGGTATTTAGGTCACTAGAAACCGATAAACAAAAGGAGATTCCCTGCTCCTCCCATTTCTTTGGTAACAAACAGGGTCTTTTAAATGCCCAGGACTTCCCTTCAGTCACTTCTTTTGTTGTTGGCAGATTGTGTTTCAATCTGATCTCCCCTCTCTCACACTCCTACAGACAGCACCACCTACCAGCCCTCGTTTGTCAATCTGTCATGTGTCTTGCTATGTCAGAGTGCTTTGTCACAATAATCCCAGTGGTCATGCTGAGGCTTTGAAGTTAAGGCACACAAATATTTTTGTCCCTTTTTTCTTAAGGGAGCTGGTGTTTCAGTCCGTTGTCCTCATCTTTGACGTGACACTGCCAAGATTGATAGATCCATCAATTTTAAGTGATGTGTTCAATTCATCTCTCTGGTCACTTCAGGACACTATCCGTGTGTGCTTTGCTTTTGAATACCAGTAAAGCATTTGCTAGAGTGAGGCGATGTGAAATGTCTTTGTTTCATCTCTTAGGGGCTCAAGCAAACGTTTATTTGAGTTTCAGGTCACGTGGGTTTGCTTCCCCTTAAATCTCAGTCCGCACTTCAGATGAATTCCCAGCTTCAAAGCACAACTTAGATACTCCTTGCTTTTATGTCCAAACTTGGCATTTCACATAGTTTTGACAAAAAAAATAAAAAATAAAAACAAACTGAGATGAAAAAGCCTGCTGGAACTGATCTCAACTGAGCCTTCACTTCAGTGGTTAGGTTCTGTGGCAGGTGATAAGACATACTGGATGGAGCAAGCTAGAAATCTGTGCTCATGTAACTGGGCACCAGCTGGATTTGGATCTTCTGCACAGCTCCACTGGAAAAGGCCATTCACTTAATTTTGAAATGAACCAAAATCATCTCACATGGATTTTGACCCTTTTGCAAGGAAGTGAGGTCCCGGCTTTCTTTGCAGCTTCACGCTGCATTGAACTGCTGCCAACTCGCTAAGTTCCCAGCATCTCACTCCCCACTGGCTCTGTATGTCTCTCTCTGCAGTCAAAGTGTAACACAGAGTCTGAAAAGATCCCCGGCTTTCTGAGTGAACATGTCAGCGTGCAGAACTCCTGTCAGCTTTCTTTTTTTCAGTAGACAAATGTATCAGGACTTTAAGCCGTGTCTTTGCTCTGTTGACTGCACTGAGTCAATCAAACGTTTGGCCCAGAAGCTTTGAAAAGTCTCCTTTTATGGAAATTTCCAGTAGCACATTCCTGCAAGCACGGCGCTCTTTGGCTCAGTGAACTGTCAGAAAATGGGCCCAGGCTTTCAGAAAATCCCACTGAAACACCTGCAGCAAAACCCCATCACTGCAAGCAAGAAGGATATAATTCATCCCTGGTGTCCATCTACTCTTGCTTTTCAGTGATGTATTTTCCTTCACCTTCTGACCCTGTCAGAATAGCACTGGGGATCAGTTTGGCCCCATGCTTTGAGATGACTCATGAATGAGCTTGTCTCCTCTGTGCAAATGAGACTTGGCAGGTCTGCACTAAGTGCTTTAAATTTTTTTTGCCTTGAGGGACTGCAAGGCCCAAGGGAGTGCTAATGGGATGTAATCTAGCTTTCCGCTATTGTGCTGTCGGTACAAAGTCTTGCACAGGCCTTGCACAAGCTGCTGCTCAGTGGCCTGTATGAAATGAGCTGTTGGTCTGATTCTGCCATTGATGAGTGGCTGTCCAAAGCACAAGACCACCTGACAATGATTGGTGTTGCTGGAGGCAGCAAAGGCTGCAGCGATTGAGCAGCGTGGAAAGTTTACCCAGTTTCCTTCAGGAGATGCTCCATCCCCACTTAGTGGCCCAGCTCTAAAACATTCCCTACCAGCTTCAGCAGGTTTGGGCTGCACCCTCTGTGGTTCCTCCACACTGCCCCGCTGATCCCCAGTCTGCTGTCTTTTGGTATGCTTTTCTTCTGCCCAGCCTCTAGGGTTGTCAGGCTTTATCCTGCTATTTCATTTGTCCGATTTGGGGCATATTTCCAGCTGATGCTGGCTCAGCATGTTGGCCAGGACCACAGCATCCAGCTTCATTGCCTTCCCTTGGCATATTGGTTAGTGCCTGGTCAAACAGGTAGGGCCTGAGCGTGCACTAATTTGCAGTCTGGAAATGAGTGGAAATAAACTACAGGACTGTAATTATTCTACAAATACAGGAAAACTGTCTCCTCATGGAGTGGGAGGACGAGATCTGTCTGTGCAGACTTGGGGTTTATAGCCTTTCCTAGACATCCAGTGCAGAGACTCAGTATAAGAGGTTAGGGTTGACCACAATGGCTATTCCTGGGGTTACACAAAGTATACATAACCCTACATAGCCAGAGGGTTATACAGCATGTAAGCATCTGCAAGGAATAAATCGCCAGGACAGCAGCAGCCTGAAGACTCATTGTCTCCAAAGATCTGGCATTGCAACAAGACAGCAGGTCATGCTCAGGCTCCTTATCAAAACTCAGCAGGAGAAAATCTTGTTAGATAAAAGCAGTGACTTTCCTCTTCCAGAGCCATTTGGAGAACATTGTACGCAAACCTTCTTGCATCTCATTTTTGACCTGAAACCTGAGTTCAGGAAGCAAAAAGTGTCCTACCCTTCTCCCTGGACTGAGTCTAGAGTAGAGCTGCTGGAAATGAAAGGTGTCTGCCTCGTTGTAGCATTAGTTTAAGGTGGTCAGTACTGGTTGCCTGATCTGCTGTGATACATTGGCAGGTGGTTCTGCCTTCACACTCAAATGAGTGGGGATCCTTTGTTCTTAGGATCGTTGTGGAAATAAGCTTGTGAGGCATTCAGGTACCTCTGAATGGTAATAACAGAGCTTATAAATACCCAATAATATCAAACTATAATAATACTTCTGTGGGTGCTTTCAGTACAAGGCTCTCCCAGTGCTATCTTTGTTTACAGTCTTAAATTAATCTCAGAAACACAGTGTGCAACGGGGAGACATTTTACTTTCATTATCATTTCACTCATGTGCAAACAGAGGCAGAGAACAGCTAGGAACTTAAGCTGAAGTGTCTTTCCCAAAGCCTCACAGCAAATCAGTAACAGAGCCGAGAGTGGTGAGCGTGCAGCCATCAGTTCACCCTTAGCTCTTGTTAGAATGATGTGAAGGAATGCCAAAAACCCCATCAGAGCAAACTGTCCCCGCTGGTCCACCTCATGTTAGTTCCTATGGGAACAGATCATGTGCCTTCAGCACCCTACTGAACAAAAGTTTTTGTTATTCCACAATGGCTTAATGAAATGTTTCCTTATGTTTCTCCCTGAAATGCTTGGAAATGACCCTGGTTGGAAGATACAGGATTAGGGGGTTGTTCTGATGTAGCAGTTGCTGTTTCAAGGTGATTCAAATGCTGTACTGCTCAGAAAAAAAGGTCTGGTAAATTATTGTGGCAACTGAAACACCATCATGTGTAGAGTTCATCCTTTCAGTAGTGCTAGGGCTGCCACTGAAGAGCTTTCCCCAGCAGCCTTAATCAATGTGCTTGATCCTCTTGTTAAGCAAGCATCATGTTCAGATGCTGTCAGCAACATGAACCGGAGATAGGTGGCAAACTGCTAATACTAAGGTTTGTAATGCAGAGGCAGGGCAGCCTCTAGGACTGGATGAGCCCAACTCTGCAGCCAGCTGCTGCACTTGTTTTGTTGCTCAGTGCACTGAAAGATTTCTGCCTCCATTGGCTCTGTGGGGCATAATGACGGCTAAACTCACAGCTCCAGCAAAGGAAATTCGGGGGATATCTCACCTGAGCTTTCAGGGCATCTTGTCCCAAATTCTTCCTCAGCAAATTGAAACAGGATGACATCTAAGGAGATCAAGTCTCTCTCTCCTAAGTTAGGTTTATGCATTATGCAGGTTTGCTTTCCCTGGGGTGTGCCTAGATTGCTGACCCATGGTGCTGCGCAGGGTCCTGGCACAGCCAGTTATTGAGCTGGGGCTGACTGTTTTCTTACTTGACTAATATTAATGCTTTGGAGAATTCTGTTGCTGCAGGTGCGCTGTGTGCTGCCTGTTACTCTGAACCATAACCAGAACATGTTTTCCTGCCAGTATTTTCTTCCAGCTTCTCATGAAAGCCCATTTAAGCCAGGTCCTCATCTTGTTGATCCAGAGCTCCTTGCCAGATTTGGACAAACCTTTTGTGGCTTCTTTTAGGTACTAGAGGCAGTCTTTGGCCTTTGAGCTTATGCAGTAGCATTTCTGAAGGTTTCTTGTTGTATTTGGTAACAAAGCGAGTCTATGCGTAGTTTCTTCAAGAGGGAAAAATATCCATGACAAAGACAGAAAATAATAAACAACAGGAAATGACGCCAGAATTACACCCACTTATGAGTGTAAAAAGTGCAGTCCTGAATACAGTTCTGGATTGCTTCCATTCTTGCAAAATAATCCTAGTTTGCTGTGGAGGCTTGTTTCCTGCCACAGTGGGATGACTTTTTGCTTCTGTGAGCTTTAAAGAAGTGCTAGGCCATTACTAACTCTTTTGTCCATGTCCAGTCCAAGATTCATGCTGCAAGAAGCCTGAGTGAGATTGCAATTGACCTGACCGAAACTGGAACGCTCAAGACCTCAAAGTTGGCCAACATGGGGAGCAAAGGGAAAATTATCAGCGGCAGCAGCGGGAGTCTTCTGTCATCAGGTAGGTCCTCCATCCTGTAAATGGAAAGAATATGGTGGGAAGGGCTGTGGTCATAACATAATGGTGAGCTGCCAGAAGCTGCACTGCAGAAGTGGAAATCACTTCCCTTTAGTCTTTCTGTCTGTCCAGGTGTAAGTCCATCTCTCAGCATATAGCCCCACATTCAGCACAGGACACAGCCTCCCTGTCTCTCATTTCAGCTGCTCGTTTCCTCTTTGGCCAGAGGAAGTCTCTCATTTCCTAGCTGAGATTTGGTCTCTCTTCATAGTCTCTGCTGTAATCACCCTGTGGTACCCAGCTCATCTCAGGCCGTTTGCTGCCTGAGGCCAGTGTGTCCATGGAGCAGTTCCCAATCTGCAGTGGGGAAGTGATCAAGCAGCTGAACCCAGCTGAGGCTGGGAATTGGTGACATCCCTCAGCGCTGTCAGGGCAGGGTGGCTCTTTCACATAGTGCACATCTTCCTTGCCTCTCTGTTGCAGGAATTTGCATGGTTCCCCGGGCCCAAAACAGTTGTTCCTGAGCATCCTCCACCAGCTTAGTGCCAGGGACTGAGAGGTTTCTTTTTGTGCCTTAGAGCACCTTCCTGTGTGAGGAGGACATAATCAGTGAAACAAAATCAAGAGAAGTTGATGAGGGAGAGAACTGGAGCATCAGAATAGAAAGAACAGGAAAGGGGAGTCAGGTGCTTGTCTGTATTTCTTTGAGACATTTCTGTCAGTCTGAACAGGTGAAGTTGTATATAGAACAGTGCTAAACACTCTAAGATTGATTGCAGAACGCTTGAAGCTGCTCAGGTGATAAGCTCTTCAGGAGGGCAGAGGTGCTGGTATCAGTATAATTTAACAATTGCAGTCAATTATGTGTCCTCTGCTAAGTGTTACATCAAGTTATCGAAATCAGTTGTGATGAGCAGAGAATAACCTTCCTGTGCTTGCCAAAGGAGGAGTCCACCTAAGAATGCACACGCTTTAAAACTTAACCCACCTTGATGCAGTAGATCAGTTTTTCATCACTGTACATTCTTCGTGTCTTCTAAAAGCCACCCTCTCCTACCTGGAAAATGTCAAGCAAGGGGTTAAATTGCTCAACGACTTCTGAGCTCTGGATTTGCCTGCTGTGCAATTCCTTGCCTTGCCTGTGAACAGAGATGCCTTTCTGCTCCTTGGGTCCGGCTGACACAGCACACAATCCTTGTGTCTGTACCTCCCATCACTCAGGGATCGATGCAGTAGCTGAGCAGCTCCTGGCCTCCTGTCAGGTTGCTGGAGCTTTTTGTTTGGCATTTTTTCTATGTTTCCAGGAGGAAAGTAAATAATGTTAAGTACCCCAAGGAAGTTCTTAAGGTCTTTACAAGATCTCAGCCTCCCGGGCAACGTTCCCAATTTTGTGAAAGCTGCTTGGTAGTAATCCTGTTTTCATGTTTATACACTAACTTTTAGTCTTCCTGGAAAAAAAACATGGAGGTCTGCTTCTGCTCTCACAATGGGAAAGAGCAGCAGCAAAGTAAAAGACAGCAGAAAATCAGGCCCAGAAAAGCTCTAGTGAGGCCAGCACCTGAATAGGGCTGTATGGACAGAAATCCCAGATGGCCAGCAATGCTTACTTTTATTGTCCGTCTATTTTTGCTCTCTTCTCAAATCCATTCTGGCTGAGACTCAGTAGAATTGTGGTAACAACCAGACCAATGCAGAGTTCACTGCCCAAACGAGTGATTTCTTGTGACCTGTGCAGATGGATCAGTCTACATCAGTGCTTAGCTAGGACTGTGTAAACTCTTTGTCGTTTGAGTTGTTGTCCATGGGCCAGGCAGGCATGTTTCACTCCGTGTTCCTATATTAGCTGCCTTCTAGGTCCTATCAGCTGTGGAGGCAGGATTCTAAAGTGTTAAGGAGCATTACAGGGTTTGCAGCTCCTGTGTGCCTTTTGGAGTTAGAAGCATGTTTCTCTAGGTAGGGAAGAGTAGAGAGAAGGCATCTGCCATCAGAGGGCAGATCCCAGAGTATTGGAGGCCCTGGATGGTCACCCAGATCTGCTTCAAGAACCCCTTCACTCAGGCCTGGATGGCAGAGTGACCCAGTCCTGCCCAGCTGCACGGGATGGGGCATTCACTGATTGTCCTGCTGGACACAGTCACTGGCTCCATCCCAGCCCTTGTATTTCCTCCCATTGTGCCGACATTATCAACACAAAGCCACAACAATGGTGGGTTATCGTGGTACAGCCTGCGCGCTGGAGAGAATAAGTGCGAATGATTAAGTGGCCACAGTGGATTTCCATACTATAAATACCCTGAGTGACTTCAAATCACCAGGGCAGAGCTGAATCTGTTTGCTGTTCCTGCTTCCAGGAATCTGAATCTGTTTGCTGCTGTTCTCTGCCCTTTTTCCTGGAAATTACTTGTCGCCATTTCCTCTCTTCACCTTACTCCTCCTCAGCAAAGAGGCTGTCCCTGCCATGTGGAGCGTGCCAAAGTTGACATGTTTCCCCTGAATTTGCAGCAAGACTGCAGGGAAATAATAGCTGTTGTTTACAGCTGTCACAGCCAAAATCTTGCTGTTCATCACATTGTAGTTGCTGCATCACTTACAGTCTCAAGACACACCAGAGAGGTAATGGAGCTTTCTGCTGGAGTAGTGATTTCCTATGATCACAGCAATTCAGGACCAGAGCCTGAGCTCCTCTGTGTTTCCCAGGCCTTCTGTCTCAGACAGCATCTACTGCAGTTCTGAGTTTTATCCTTATTTCAGCTTTGAAGGGACTACCCAAAATAGAGAGCTGCCAGGATTTAGCTCAAGGATCTTCTGAGCCATCTCTGGGTATGTAGGGCAAGATTTGCTCATGAATGAAAGCTCTGCTTTCAGACTGGCATGAACCGTGATCAAAAGCAGCAGATAATTATTGGGATGAAATCAAGCAAGGTCTACTGTGGATTTTTTTCTTTAAAGAGCAGTCCATGCCATAAGAGCTTTGCAGTGCGCTTAGCTAGCAAGGAGTCCTATTGTTGCTGGGTTATTGTTGGCCTGAACCCCAAACTGCCTCTTTCACAGAATAGAATCATAAAGTCAGTATGACTGTAAATGACCTCTCTGATTATCTAATTCAACCATCAACCCATCCCCACCATGCCCACTAACCATGTCCCTCAGTGCCACATCTACACATTCCTTGAACACCACCAGGGACAGTGACTGCCACCTCCCTGGGCACTCTGCTCCAGTGTCTCACCACTCTTTCTGAGAAGAAATTTTTCCTCATATCCAGCATGAACCTTCCTTGATACAACTTAAGGCCTTTACCACTTTTCCTTTCATTTCACTGAGTCGAGAGGAAAATTGGTGCTTTAACTCTGCAGATGTGATAGAGGCCCCTGAGCCATGCTCCTCCAGCAGCAGCAGAGGTTTCCTGTGCGTGGACCTGTTTACATTTGCAGATGCCACAGTGTGTGATTCCTGGGCCCTGCTGCTCCATCTGGCAGGAGCATCTCCTAGCAGTACTGAGCTGATGAGTGTTGGAGTGGGTGACCAGCACCCACACAGCCCCCAGCACTGCCTGCAGGATGTTGGATCGCATCCTGTGCTGAGCTGCACTGGCTGGGCTCCTGCATGCTGCACAGGATATCCTATATGTCTGGCAGAGCTGAGAGAGAGTAACTGTCTGAGGTTGCTGGCTGCTGCATGCTGACATCCTGGTGCGGTGAGTCAGCCCAGGCTCTGGCATGGAGCAAATGTTGGGGACCATCCCTCCCTGCTCAGGGGACAGCTTGCTGTGGGGATCCGGATGAAATGCCAGCAAACTGAAGCCAACAGGATGTAGTGTGAAGGGATTGCCATATTTAGATGTGGTTTTGTTGGAGGAGACTCACAAAATAAGAAAGACAAGAGTTGCCTGGGTTCTCCTGCCTTGCTTCTGCTTGGCCACCCTTTTCTCTCACAGATAACAGATCCAAGCCTCAGGTTTTTCTGCTCTTCAACATGCCATCTATCCTCCTCGTTTGTTTTCATCATTTGCATTTATCCTTTTCCAAACTGATGCCACCCTGCTGCAACAGGTGGAGGGCTTAGAGACAAACAGTGAGTCACTGGTAGGGCTTTAACTTCCTTAACTCTGCCTCATGTTGCTGGTCTCCTTGCATCTGATAAGGTTTAAAGCAAAGCTTGACTTGGAGGAGACACCTGTTAACTCTGCAAACCTCAATAAGCACAGCTGACCTTAGTCAGACCCACCGGGTATGTGAGTTGGTGCATGTCCCTGTCAGTGGCACCAGGAATCTCCCAATACCAGCCCGTTGGCACTGGTGAGAAACTGAGTAGTGCATTCTTCTGGAGTAGTGAGTTGAGCAAGGAGGATCACGTTCTCCCTGTCTCATAGCTTTTGTTCGTCTGAATGTTGGTAGAAGTCACCCAGAGAGGCCAAGGGCTATCAGAAGTTGTATAGCATATTCACAAATTAGCAGGATATTATGAATGCTCAAGTCACCGAGACCCATCTTCCACCGTGTGCAGGTATTTAACAACCCCCACTTGAACAGATTTCTGATGGCTGTCAAAGAGACAGCCCTCTGCTTCCAACCCCTTGTGTTTTCACAACCTTTTTTCTTTTGGGGACATCAGATGGGTCTGCAGAATGATATTAAAATGCAGAATTCAGTAAATCTTTACACAGCAGTGGAAAGGAAGCTAAACAAGAATACTCACATAAAGGTTCAAAAGTTACGCAGAGGAATTACATATTTCAGCAGTATTTCTCTGGTTTGTGCATTAGGAACTAGTCCTAATTGTGGGAGCTAAACTACCTGTGAAACCCCCACCCAGTCAACCATTCCTGTTGCATCAGGACTGTTCTTTTTCAGGCTGATTTTTTTCCATTGATGCTGCCTTTGGGAGGCACTGGGCAGCTGTGACTCAGTGAGCATAATATTTAATAAGGCTGATGTAAGGTAGTATCTGCTTGGTTGGTTTGGTTTGTGCTGGTTTTTAATTATTTCTTCGATTGTTTTTATGGTCTTCTGATTTGTTCTGACATTTTGGGGTCAGTTACCACAGGGTTTAGAAGTGGGTCTGTGGTCACAGCCTTGCTTGAGGCTGGATTAATACATTTTTATAAATGAAGAGCTTCTAATGGGAGCTGTAAGCACCCTAGCGATAGAAAGAGCGCTGTTCTGTGTGTCTTCACAAACATCTCACTCTGGCTTGATTCTCTTGACTGATCAAGTTGGCACTTGGTTTTTGCCTGTGAGAATAAACAGAGTATCTAACCATAAAAATCTGATAATACAACCCAAAGCACTTCACTTTGCTCAGACAGAAATCCCTTCTCTTCAAGAAGTTCTGTGGCAAGATGGGAGTTGGCCTCTTCTCCCAGGTAACATTGTTAGGATGAGAGGCCTTAAATTGCACCATGGGAGGTTCAGGTTGGATATTAGGAAGAAAATTGTTCTCAGAAAGATTGGTGAGGCATTGGCACAGGCTGCCCAGGGGGTGGTGGAGTCACTGTGCCTGGAGGTGTGCAAGAAACATGTAGATGTGGCACTGAGGAACGTGGTTAGTGGGCATGGTGGGGATGGGTTGATGGTTGGACTAGATGATCTTAATGGTCCTTTCCAACCTTAATGATTCCATGATTCTTTGACTTCCAGATCTCCCCCAGACCCTTTGCATTCAGGGAGCAGTGGGAAGGGTGGCCAGATGTGTGTGTAGTTGGCATTGCCCCTGACCACATCGGGGTTGAGGCTGCATGGTTCTCAGGCAGGGTCAGCACAGCTGGGGCAAATGCCTTGAACTGTCTGTGCTTGATTTGGGTCTGTACCAGCTCAGCCAGAAGCTGTTCATTTCCTTCTTGTCAGCACTCTCCAAATCAGGCATCTGGGCAGCACTTAGACTATTCATACGTTTTTAAATGTTTCAGCATCTTTGTAGCTGCTCTGGCAACCAGCAGTGCAAAAATGAACAGCTTTTAAAAATAAATCAGAGCCTGGTGTGGAGGTAGGGAGCAGAGAGAGGAAGGAAAAGGGAAGAACAGTTGAAAGAAAAACACAGATCATTAAAGTTGTCCTAAAAGGGGGAAAAAAGAAAGAAAAAAAAAAAAAAGGGGGTTGAAACATCTGCTGGAATTGTGAGCAACTTTTTTTACCAGGACTCAGCAGATTGTTGGCAATTAAGTGAAGAAATAAAGCAGTTTAGCTTTGCTAGAACTGCTCACCAGGGTTGCTATTAAGAATTACTAAATGCTAGAGAGGGCTTCCCCTGCCAGTGTAAATACAGGGCTCCTCTAGAAGATCCTGTGAAGTTCTTGCAGTGCAGATGTATTCACAGAATTTAGTTTTATTGCTCAGTGGGTGCAAACAAACCCTTATGAAATGAGAGTGACTAGAGCAACTAAACAGACACACTGCTGTGAAATTGTTCTTCTCTGCCTGATGATGCTCAACCTGGCTAACCCTCAGTGACCCTTCCTTCACCTTTCCTGATCCAGGACAGCCCAAAAATGTTGTAACGAATGAAAGGTGGCACTTTGCAGAACGAGTGCCAGCTGTCATCCTATATGGAGACTGCAGAAAATAGTGGTGAAAAAGATCTGTGAGATTTTCTGCTCCCACAGGACAATTGCAGAGCTATTTCATGGCACGGGCTGCCTTGAACTTCTTTTGGTTTTGCTTTAACAGTCTGCTGGAATATTAGCAACGAAAGATGAAGCTGAAAGCACAAATTTCAATCTGGTTTGCTGCCAGAACAAAGAGTTGTTCCCAGTTTCCTTCCAGAGCTCTGTGAAATGGCAGCAACATTTACAACTGGCTTTTGCTGAACACCTTCGCTGTGCACTCAGAGGCCAAGCTGCAAATGTGTCTAGAAGCAGCTCCTCACTCCCATCCTACACATAACACAGAAACCTCGATGTAGCGTCCTTTCGTATTTCACTCATGCTTTCTTTGTGCTGTTGCTCAAGAGCTGTGGGGGACAGCCTCAGTGTCACCCTTGGGCACCAGGTACTGAGATGGAGGGAACGCTGAGGACCTGAAGGAACCCTCTTGAAGTTCATTGCTGTGTCACATTTTCTCTGCAGGCTCAAACGTGTCTCCACAAGAAGTCCCTGCAGAGCTGGTCACATTCCAGCTGTCTAAACATAGGTGTCTTGCATACCTGTGTTTAGATGAGAGTATCCAACTGCCAGTTCAACAGAGTTTATGTCTCACAGAATCTTGTGTCATACCCACCACCCCATAGAAGGCACCTCAGATACCTTAGATCACCTAGATGCATCTGTTGAGGCAACGGGAACCTCTAAACCACAGCAACCCTGTCAGTTCAGACCAGCTGTAGCTGAACATATTGCAGTGGCATGAGTGTAGAAAAGCGTGTAGAGATGGTATTTTCCCCTTCCAGTGATTGCTTTGCATCTCACAGTGTGACCGTAACCTTCATTTGTTAGTCTGTGACATAAGGATGCACTCAGCTTATGCATCATCATAAACTCATGCCCAAGCCCAGATAGATTGAAGAGGGTAAATGCTGAGCGCATCCTAAAAGGTCAGCCACTCAACTTACAGCTATATGCAAACAAAGTTACTTCTTTTTTGAGATGCAAGAAGCTGGATAGGAACTGGTGCATCATCCCAAACAAACTGATGAAAAATCAGAAATTCCATTGATAAGTTTCCCTAAAGAGCTGAAGTTAGGAATTGTTGTGACCTCTGATTAGGAGTCTGACTTAATTCTGGATTTGTACCACGAAGTTGTAGTGGTGGAAGTTGCCGGGTAATTGCCACATGAAAAGTCAAGCCATTTGGACACCCGGTTCAAATATTTTGACCTATCTCTTCCCAAGCAGCAGCTACTGCCCTGGAAAGACCTGTGGGTGGCTGTTGTTTGGTTTTGTTTTACAGCTTAGTGTGCTTTTTACAGGAATCTGGCTGAGTAATTTTATTCCATTACTCTGTTGTTGTTTTTTCTTGTAAAGCAGACTCTTTAAGTGGATCGAATTAAATGTTTACTACTAGAGTAATTACAGCCCTTAAAGAAGCCATCTGCATTGTAAAGTGGTTTCTCCTAGGCTTATTTTCCCTAAAATGCTTCTCCAGGGCTTTGTGAAGTGTGCTGTTATTTGCTGTTGGGAAATTTCGTGGGAATGATTTTTTTAGGATCTCTGCAGGAATAATTTTGCTGCTTTTATTTTTCTGGATAATGAATGTCTTTGTGTATTCCTCTGTCCAGTCTCACTCTGTTAGTTTAAGCATTAAGAATTAGCTGTAAACAAACATAACTGTATAACACCTGCTTCGTATCGTAGCCTGATTTCGTTTTGGACAGACCACATCCAGGCTTTGGTACAATTACAGGCATCCCAGATGTGTGTTCTGCTGTCAGCTGCCATAGTGAAGTCATTGTTTATTGACAGGTTCCCAAGAGTCAGATAGTTCTCAATCTGCCAAGAAAGACATGCTGGCTGCACTGAAATCCAGGCAAGAAGCCTTGGAAGAGACGCTGCGCCAACGCCTGGAAGAGCTGAAGAAACTGTGTCTCCGAGAAGCGGTAGGCAGTGGATCTTTTATAGCTCTTAACACTTGTTGCTTGTACATCCTTACAGCATGCTTTTTGTTTGGAGGTGGCAGTCATCAGAAGGATGACATCCAGGTCTTTATCATGCTAAGCTAGCACTGCTTAGGTCTAATGCACAGAGGGGAAGGTTTGCTTGTGCCACGGTTACAGGAGTTCATAGCCCAGTGCCTTCACTTCAACTCCAGCCCCATCGTCAGTGCAGCCACAAATGCTGTGCAATACAGCCATGCCTCGCCGGGGCACAGTGCTAGCAGAAAGGAGCTATTTCCTCACTGTGCTGCAATAGGGTTGGCCTGAGCCCATCTGTCAGCACCTTAAGAGCTGTTAAGAAGTGTTATTTCTTTCTCTGGATGATTTGACTGAGCCAGTTGATGGACGCTTGGGGTTTGACCCAGTCTTGCAACCCTACAGCTCATCCATCAGCAGGCTGCAGCTGGAAGCATTTCCTCTCAGGCTGCCTTTAGTCCTGTCTGCTTTGCTGTGGGAATGGCCCAAACACAGGGAAAGGAAGGTGAACCAAGGGGGAAAAAAGGGTTAAAAGGGGGGGGGCATAATCAAATAAGCATGGCCAGAGCCATTCACAGCAGTGGCATCAGGTTACCTCAGGCCATCACCACTCCAGTTACTCATTAATTCAGATTACATTTCAGACCTGTGCCTGTGAATACTTTTCAGCTTATGAAGGCTGCGTGGTAGCCCACGTTCATTTTGTTCTGCTCCAATTTTGTTGCTTTTACAGAAGACATTAACTGTTTCCCTTCTGCCCTGCTTTGTATTAAGTTCAGGGTTGTATAGAAGATATCCTCAGGAACAGATGCGTGAATCTGTGTCTGGATGCAGTGCGTAGAGCCCCATCAAAGCAGAATGAACACATTACAGAAGAAAAGCTGAAAGAACTCCACAGGGCTGGAAGGGCAACCCAGAATGGGACACATGAGATGTTTCAGCAGTGCCTCTCGCAAAAGGGGCTGTGTACATCAGCACAGAGCTGGAAAGTGCTTGGAGGAAGGATCAGAAAAGGCCAGACCCTTTTCAAAGTGACCTGAAAATAGTAGAAAGAAAAACCCCATTAGGGAGTAGAGGAGAGGCCAGGGCAGGCAGGGCCTGAGCTGTGCACTCACATTGAGGTCAGTTGCTGTTCTTTGGGATTCAGATGATTTAGGTTACTCTGCCAGCTGGATCCTCTCAAGGCTGATGCTAAAGAACACAAAACCCTTTTGTCCTTCGTGGGGAGACTTTTGAGTACGAGGAGTTGGGCTGTTCTCAGAGTGAGACTCCTGTGTTTTTCGTTGGGCATTTGAATGCCTTTAATGCAGAAATGTGGGGCTGTATTCTGTACTCCAAATAAATCCACACAGCACAACAACAAACATTACCTTCAGTGTTGGCACTCACTGCTTCCCGTGTTCCAGGTATTTCTCAGTTCTGGAGGATTTGCTTCAGATTTTGAACAAATTTTTACAAATAACCCCATCAGTCTGACAGAGCATCATCTAATATTGTTCCAAAGCTGCTCATGACATCACCTGGCCTTGGAAGGGCCTCTGATACATGAAATGGTATCAGTCAGGTAATGAGGTACCAGGCACTGCTTTTAGTGACTATTTGCACTGCGTTCCTCTCAGACACATCATGAATCAGGTGGGAACATTTTTTGTGCAGGTCATAACCTGCATGGCTGTTGCCACTGGGACTTTCTAGCGCAGTGAAGGGTTCAGGTGTGTCATCTCCCTTGCAGAAGGAGCCCAGAAGAGAGAAGCTCTTCTTTTCCTGCTCACCCTGTAGCAGAGATGAAAGCGTGCGTGCTGTAATCTGTTCACCCCAGACCCCAACGCCCAAGGGATGGGCAGCACTTACAAACTGTGCTGGGCAGGCAACAGAATCTCTATTCATGCCCAGGTTAAAAAAGCTTCCCCACGCTCAGCAACAGAGCCTGGACCACATTCTCAGGGCTGGGTGTTTATCAGCCTGAGCTAAATGTGGTGTTAATGACCGCCTGTCATTTTAAAGTCACAATTCAAGAGCAGCACTGTGCTTTGCACATGCCAGGACTCTGCTGCAGCATTTCCCAGGTTGCTAACAGTGTTTTCTGCTTGCAGGAGCTCACAGGAAAGCTGCCACGAGAATATCCCCTCGATCCTGGGGAGGAGCCACCCATTGTAAGGAGAAGAATAGGAACTGCCTTTAAACTGGATGAGCAGAAAATCCTGCCTAAGGGAGAGGTAGGATTTGACCTTCCCTTCCAGCTGTGTGTTCCCACTTCTGGTTGCTACCACATCTAGTGTGCATGGCATAGAAGCCACAATCTTCCTGTTTCAAATGACTGTAGTTGGTCACAGTGCCTGTTTTATGAGCCAGCAGTGTGTCCAGTGACCAAGAGGGCCAGTGGCATCATGGCTTATATCAGACACTGTTGCCAGCAGGAGCGGGAAAGCGATCATCCCTCTGTACTCAGCTCTGGTGAGGCTGCACCTTGAGTACTGTGTTCAGTTTTGGGCTCCTTGCTACAAGAAAGATATTGAGGCCATGGAGCGTGTTCAGAGAAAGGCAACGAAGCTGTGAAGGGTCTGGAGTACAAGTACTATGGGGAGCAGCTGGGGGAACTGGGATTGTTCATCTGGAGAAGAGGAGGCTCAGGGGAGACCTTATCACTCTCTACAATTGTCCAGAAGGAGGTTATGGTGAGGTGCGGGTTGGCCTCTGCTTGCAGGTAACAGTGGCAGAGCAAGAGGAAATGGCCTTAAGCTACAGCATGGGAGATTTGGGTTGGACATTAGGAAGAACTTCTCTGACAAAGTGGTCAGGTGCTGGAAAGGGCTGCCTGGGGAGGTTGTGTAGTCACTGTCCCTGGAGGTGTTCAAGAAACATGTAGATCTGGAACTGAGGGACACAGCTTGTTAGGAAATATTGGTGAGAGGAAGATGGATTATTGCACTGGATGATCTTGGAGGTCTTTTCCAACTTTGGTGATTCTAAGATTTTTTTTTTAATTCCCTTCAGAAAAGAGAAGCAGGAGAGGTTGCTTGTCCAGAGTAAAGGTTAAACTCTCAGGGCTCAGCCTTGGCTGTGCTAGAAGCAGCAGGAATAGCCAGGGTGACCAACTGGATTGTGACAGCCCGGGTGACCAACTGTAGTGCCCTGTGTGAGCAGGGAGCACATGGAGGGCCCCCTGAGCCATCTGAGCCCTGCTGCTGCCCTGCGTTGTTACTACAAACAGCAACCTGCTTTCTGCTTCAGCAGTGATCTCAACTCAGATCTCCCCTAGCAGGAGAGAAAAGCAGCACAATTACTTATCTTAGCCCTGCAATAGCAAGATAAAAGCATAAAAGATACCTCCCCAGTCCTTACACAAAAGAGGCTCCGTCCCTACCTATAGGGAGCTGGATTTATGTTTTTTTCTAAGTTTGCTAGGGAGTGTTTGTTCTTTTTCCTTGCTCCCACAATGTGCTGGGTCAGTGCCCTGAACCGTGGCTGTGAAAACAGGCCTGCAGCAGCTGTAAGGCGGGCCCCGATTCACAGAGGAGCCATTGTCTGCAGGGACACATTTGTCTCAAGACACTTGTGTATATCCCAGTTTTGAGTTTCTTTTTCATTTTTGTAAGAGAGCCTGAAGCTGGTGTGACTGTGTGGTTTAAGGCCCAGGGAATTAACTGTCGTTTTGTTGGCATTTTTCTTCTGCCGAAAAAAATAAACAGCTGGAGCTCTATAGTTTTGTTCTCAATGGAGCCTGGGAGAGGAATTCCACCAAAGTCAAATATTCATGAACTAGCACATTTAATTAAGCTTTTCAAAGGGAAGCACAGTTTAACTCAGTTACTCCTGCAGGTCCTGCAGTCTGTTGGCTGCTGTGTTAAAAACTGATCCCTGGTTTCCACAGTTCATTTCTGTTAAGCGGTTTTTGGGGGCACTCCATGAGGAATGTCTACAGTGCAAAGCTAGGCTGAGCAGGGGGAAAAGCATGAAGGCAAAGCAGTTCTGCCCCACTGCAGGCACTCTGCCTTTTGGCACCAGCAATCCAAACACGCCGAGTCAGCTTTTCTCTATCCCCTTTTTCATCTGTCAAACTTTAGGACTGTATTGAAAACCATAAATTTCTGTTCTCAAAGAATAATGTTGGGCTGTGTTTACTTGGCTGCCAGTTTGAGAAAGTTCAGAGAGGCCAGTGTTGATTTTCATGTGCTTTTCAGCAAGTGCAAGCTCTAGAAACTCAATTTAAAACAAAGGTGAAATTCTCTTCCAGTCCCATAAATCCAGAACTGAAATTACCAACTATGACAAGGACCTGAAGCAAAGCACTTCCCTCTGAATACAGGTGATATCCCTCATTTTCTGAGGCTTTATTCATAGGTGCCTCACTGGATGAAAAGTAGATGGTTAGGGCTGGCAAGAAAATTAAGATGTTTTTCACCTAGTTACACTGAATGATTTAGAACTGAATCTGTGAAGGCTTGAAATGACAGCTTGCACCAAACTCCTAATAACTTTAAAATAAGACCTTCACCAGAACACAAACTGCAGAGTAGGCTTCTACTGTAGTTCTTGGTAGTCACCTCTTCGTGGTCTGGAGTTCCCGACTCTGGGAAGGATTTTGAAGAAGGCAGTGAGCCAGCTTCCAGGCCTTAAAACTCTGTTGTGTCGAATCCACTTTTAATAGGCTTGGTGTTGATAAATTTATAAACTCTGCAGTGCAAAAAAAAAAAAGGTTCTGCTAAAAAGATGGAGGGGTTGCTTCAGTCTTCAGAAACGATTGCTGTTATTTCATGGCAGTGCTGACTCACCACTGACAGCAAAGGACTTTTTCCAAGCCAAAAGCCCAAAATAAAAACTTCAGAGAACAATTTCAGTTTGATTAATTCCTGCAGCATCCGTTCTTGCAGCACGCACCACTACTAAATGAAGAGAAAGGATTTGAATTTGCGTAATTGGGATCTCCATGGCAATGTGTCCGTCAGTGTGATCTGAACACCCACAGTTCACTGGAAGTAGAAGAGCTTGGCTTTTCTCCCCCATTATGCAATGTGTGGTGTTCCCCTTTTTATCAACAAACTAACACCAAAACCTGATGATGATGAGCAACAAGAACTCCAAGGTAGCTGAATTCACTACACAAAACAAATGTCTTTGAAAATGATAGCTTGAGGTCCCAGCGCAGACCAAGCTGTATCAGCTTCTGTGTTTGCATAAACTGACCCAGATCCCTTGATTTGGGATGATAACTAAGAGACAGTTATCTGTAGAATTAAAAATTCTACTGACACTCTGTAACAGCTAATGTTGGATACACAAGCCCTTTTTGGCATACACAAAATGTGCTTACACTCTGATTGCTCTGAAGTCACCCTTCTGGCTTGTAACTTGAGGAGACAATTTCCTAGTGTAATGCATTGGGGAAGCCCATAACTACCTCAGCTCCTACTCTCCTGGATTTTGACAGTCATGCACCAGGGAGGAATTAGCCCTTCTTCACCTTTTCTTACCCAAAGAAGTCATTGAGTGCCAAGCTTGTCGAGAAAGTTAAAACTGTAGCCTTGCATCTGTGTATAGCACTGCTATCAAACCAGGCTCAAATGTGGTGCTGGGGAACAGGGAGAGGGAATGAGTAGGAGGTGGATGTAAAAGGTTGAATGAGTCACTGGTAGAGCACCACTGAAGTGGGCCAACGTATGAAAAGGCAAACAGCACGGCAGGACTGGGGCTGAAGCACTCACATCCTCTGTGTGTGGGTTGTGCCTTCCACCAGCTGTGCTGCCGGGCACTCGTGGGCAGAGGGAGTGAGGTGGGTCTGCTTAGGGAGGCCCTGGGATGAGAGGAGCAGCATAGAGTCACAGAACCAGAGAATCGTTTGAAATGGAAAGGACCTTTAAAGATCGTCTGGTCCATCTCTCCTGCAGTGAACAGGGACACTTACAGCTAGATCAGGTTGCTCAGAGCCCCGTTCAGCTCGACCTTGGATGTCTTCAGGGTCAGGGCATCCTCCACCTCTTTGGGCAACCTGTTGGTGGATGATTTCCTGATGGCCTTTGCTGGAGGCCCCTGGACTCAGGGGGAACTCCTCCCCAGCTGAGCCAGAAGTTTGGTGGCAGCCAGAATCTGCTTGCCTTTTCCCAGGAGGCAGAGCTGGAACGCCTGGAGAGGGAGTTTGCCATTCAGTCCCAGATCACAGAGGCTGCCCGGCGCCTGGCGAGTGACCCGAATGTCAGCAAAAAGCTGAAGAAGCAGAGGAAGACATCCTACCTGAATGCACTGAAGAAACTGCAGGAGATCGAAAACGCCATCAATGAGTATCGCATCAAATCTGGAAAGAAGCCAACCCAGAGAGCTTCCTTGATCATAGATGGTAAGTGGGGCTCAGCACCCACAGCACTCCAAAAGGGTACATGGAGGCCAACGAGCAATAATTTTGGCCTTGTTCTCATATTTGACATATGAGATTCTGCTCCCCTTCTTGTCTGTCCTGTCTAGAGGGCCCTGGGGGTGCTGAAGTTGAGTTATCCTCTCCATGTGCTGTCAGATGGGCATCTGGGATCTGTGTTGGGATATCTAGGGGTATGCTGGCTCACAAGACAAGACACAGGATCATGCTGTAGATTACAAGGATATCAGGAAAGCAGACTGTGACTCCTTTGTTCACCTGTAAAATCGCTCTGTTACCCTGGAGTAATACTGTACAAATGTAATTAATGTTAGCAGATTGGGGTGAGCTCTCTAGCTGAAAGGCATCTGTAAAATCAGAGTGGTGGCAGTGTCATTGCTGTGTTCAAATGCTTTTTTTCTTTTTATGTTTTTACAGTGTAATTCTCAGGGTGCTTTATGGTTTACTGGGTTGTTGATTGGTTTTTCATGAAATCCATTAACTTTCTGTTGTGGTTCTTTCTCCCTTGCTGAATTTGCCCTTTCTCTTTAACTTACAGAGCTTTCTCTGTGTCTCTGTGCTGAGATTAGAGCTGCTGTATTTGTGACCTGGGTACCAAGTCATGCTGCAGGCAGGGATGACAGACAGCTGTGAGGACACGGATGGGGGAGGCAGCTCATACATGCATGCCTGGAACACGAGAGTTTCTGCATCTGCTGTTGCAGAGGATACAGAAAGCGTTTCCCTGAATTACACAGAGCTGGTACCTAGTGTGGGCCTTAAGGCCCAGGATCTTCAGCAGACAAAGTCTGCCTGCTGGCAGGTTGCCATTTCACATCCGCTGGGGATCTCAGCTCACTGTTGTGACTCAGCCTTAATCCCCATTAATTGAAAAAGAGTTAGCAGCTCCTTGAAAGGCAGCCTGGTAGCAAGAGGCCTGGCCTACAGCTCAGCCCTCAGACTGAGTGGGCTGAGGCAGTTATTTATAGGAATATCATTGTCTCGTGGCTTTGAGGAGAGGAAGGTGTGGGTGACTGCTTAAGGCCAAGAGTTGGTTGAAGATCACGGCACGGTTCACAGTTTGGTCAGTGCGATTCTCGTGACCCTCTGACCATCTTTTTCTTCTCCTCAGAAGGAAACATTGCCAGTGAAGACAGCTCCCTCTCGGATGCCCTTGTTCTTGAGGATGGTATGTTGGCTGCTGTATGTTGTAGAGGGCAGGAAGGAAAAGGGGAGGGATGTGTGAATTCCTGATTGATGCTCAAAATGGGGGGCCTTTTCTTTGTAATGATCCATTCAAACTTGCTAGTACCGAAAACATTCTTGCCTGCGAGCAAGGCATGATGCTGTCCCGTGAAATAGGGCCAGCACTGAAGGTCACATAGCCATCACCTCTTTCCCTTCTTCTCTTGACAGAGGATTCTCAGGTCACCAGCACAATATCCCCTCTCCACTCCCCACACAAAGGACTCCCACCCCGGCCACCCTTGCACAACAGGCCTCCGCCTCCGCAGTCACTGGAAGGCCTCCGCCAGATGCATTACCACCGCAACGACTATGACAAGTCCCCCATCAAACCCAAGATGTGGAGCGAGTCATCCTTGGATGAGCCCTATGAGAAGGTCAAGAAACGCTCCTCACACAGTCATTCCAGGTGAGCCAGCTATCTCCAGTCCTTATCACACAGACATCCTCCCAGACGGAATGTCTGTGAATCCTTACAAAACCATCTCTTACCAAAAGGAGACATGCAGGCTTTGGAGGTAATACAGATGTGATAAAAAGCAGGCTGCGTTCACATGGCGTGACTCAGAGCAGCATCTGACCCCACTCCCACTTACTCTGGAGATCACAGGCATGTGCCTGGGACCTGGAATAAGGCAGGGAGCCCCTTCCCCAAATTCCTTCCCAGGAACTGAAGCCAAGTGTTTGCTCTGCAGCAATCACAAGAGGTTCCCCAGCACCGGGAGCTGTGCTGAGGCAGGGGGGAGCAGCTCCCTACAGAACAGCCCCATCCGGAGCCTTCCCCACTGGAACTCCCAGTCCAGCATGCCCTCGACGCCGGATCTACGGGTACGCAGTCCACACTACGTCCACTCCACACGGTAAGTTCTCCCAGCTCCACAACAGGCTCACTTTGCTTGCCCTAAAATAACTGTGCTTTGCTTTATCCATCCCCCAGGATATTCATTATTTCGCCATTCAGGAAAGGACACAAAGCAGGCCTATTCATACCAGATGCTTGAGCCCTGTTGTTATCATAGAATCTCTCCTGAACTGAGATACTGAAATCACCTCAGTTAAACTTGATCCTTCCCCTTATCTCCCCCCTCAAAGTAATGAAGCTTTTCTTCTACTGGAACTCCTTGTCCCACTTACTGTTTATAGGCCCTATAAACCACACACAACCTTCAGAAGAGATGTGATGATAGTGCTAAACTGCAGTAAAGTCCTTTCTGGCTCCAGCTGGAGATAACATACTGTTTCATTTTTTATACAAAATATTAGGTAGAAGTACTCTCTCATGGTGGCATATAAAACGTTTATATGTGTGTGCTCTCAAGTGGAGAGAGGCTGCACAAAGCAATCCACCCAAGGACCCAGGTGACAGTGACATAATCCCAGGGTTGAGACAGGAAAGACTTCAAATCGTAGTGGTGATTTGATGTTCATGGCCCAATTTAATCCCAGTTTTTACCAGGAACTGTTCAGCTTCGTTATTACTTTGCTCCTGTGGTAAATTTCATGGACAGTGAGAGAAGCAGAGCTGAGCCAAAGCTGTGTGCTGTTAGTGGTAGTGCTAGCATCCTGTAGCATGGCATAAATCAAGAGCAATGCCAGCACATCAGACTCAGACAGAAATGATGCGAGGTATCAAGGCCCTTTGTTACAATGGTTACAAATTTGAGGCTGAAAATGACTTACAAGAGCACAGTGTTAAGGCTGGAGCTAAGCTGCATGAGAAACAAGCCTGGCACCGTGCTTGAGAAGACCTTGACCAGCTAGGGGCTGTATTTGGGTGTGTGCAACAACCATTGCTAGGTCTGCTGCATGCCCCAGCCTTGGCCATCTGTCATTCGGGTGTGTAACTCCTCACAGGGCAGTGTTCCTGCTGCTTGAACGGATGGCTGAAGCTCTCCCAGCAGCTGGGGTGAACAGAGACCACCCAGGCTTGGCCATGAATCAAGCCTTGTAAATTTGTGATTCCAGGTGGATGCCTCAACAGCAGTCACCCACTGACTGTATTACACATGTAACCCATGGCTGGGCCCCAGTAAAACATAGCTGCTTTACAAAGGTGGCATTTTCAAAGGGTAGAGTCACTGTGTTTCAGGCTAAATATGGGCAATCTGTACTTTTATCTCTGCCACTAATTTCAGAAAAGGTACAAGTCGAATTGTACCTGTGCAGGGGATTCACATGCCACTTGCAAGGGAATCCCACCACTGAGGCGATGGCATTTGCAGAGCTGCAGCAAAGTGAACCTGGTAGTACCAGGATGGTGCTGGTCCAAACAGCTCTGCCATGGCTCCGCCATGAGCTCACCAGTTTTTGTCCTTCATGCTGGATCCTTCCCATCCTGGCAAGTCACAGAAGAATTGAGCTTGTAGATTGAATACTACCAGCAAGGAGAATGGATAGGAGCCAGACTTGGACCTAACTGTCCCAAACCCAACAGCAAGGAAACAGGTTGCTCTGCAGCCAGCAGCCCCATGCAGAACTGGAAGAGCTGCCCCCAAATTCCCTTTCCAGTGAGACCAAACATGTGCAGAAAGGGAGAAGTGCGTTGTCCTTGTGACTTACCAACTTGAATGTTTTCCTGGTACCTGCAGGTCAGTAGACATCAGCCCGACCAGACTGCACAGCTTAGCTCAGCACTTTAGACACCGGAGCTCCAGTTTGGAGTCACAAGGCAAGCTCCTCGGCTCAGAAAATGAGACAGGGAGCCCCGATTTCTACACCCCAAGGACTCGTAGCAGTAACGGCTCTGACCCCATGGATGACTGCTCATCCTGCACCAGCCATTCCAGCTCTGAGCATTACTACCCTGCTCAGATGAACCCCAACTACTCCACCCTGGCGGAGGACTCCCCATCGAAAGCCAGAGAGCGGCAGAGGCAAAGGCACAAATCAGCAGGCAACCTGGTCTCTTCCAATTCAGGGAGCATGCCCAACCTGGCTGCGAGGAACGGGACAGGGCACCACCGGGTCTACCTGCACAGCCAGAGCCAACCCTCTTCCCAGTACAGGATCAAAGAGTATCCCCTCTACATCGAGGGCAGCTCCACACCCGTGGTGGTGCGCAGCCTGGAGAACGACCAGGAGGGACACTACAGCGTGAAAGCACAATTCAAAACCTCCAACTCCTACACGGCGGGGGGGATGTTTAAGGAGAACTGGCATGGGGACGAAGCGGATTCTGTTCGGCTCACCCCCTCCCGCTCCCAAATCATAAGGACTCCATCTCTGGGCAGGGAGGGCCACGAGAAGGGCTCGGGTAGGACTGCCGTGTCAGATGAGCTGCGGCTCTGGTACCAGCGGTCCACAGCCTCCCACAAGGAGCACAGCCGCCTCTCGCACACGAGCTCCACTTCCTCGGACAGCAGCTCCCAGTACAGCACATCTTCTCAAAGCACCTTTGTGGCGCACAGCAGGGTCACGAGAATGCCTCAGATGTGTAAAGCAACATCAGGTGAGAGCCCGTCCTGGGTGAGGGGGTGAGGGGCCGGGGGGCCAGGGGTTTCGTGCAGCCCATTTTCATGCCAGGCCTGGAAGACAGGGAGGAACCCAAAGCCGTGCCTTTACTGAGCCTTTCCTCAGCGTGCGGTGGGGTTTTGGTCAAACTCAGAGAAACCACAGTGTAATCACTTTTAGTAAGAACAGCGAGGGGACCGATGGAGCACACAGGGCCTCGGTGCCATCCAGGAGAATGTGTGCCCATGGTGAAACATTAAAGGCACGAGGAAGGTTAAGAGTTCAGTGGGGACAGTGTCCCAGCCCTGCAGAAATGTTTGCATGATGACATCTCTTTGCACTGCTGATACGTGGCTTTCCCATGCAACTCCAGTAACTGTGCAGATAATATTCTGAGATTCAGTGCTTGAGTTTGTGCAGTAATATATCTGTCATGTAGAGCTTTGTACATCTCTGTGCTGTTAATATTCAACAGTAAGAAAGCAGCCAAATAAATTAACCTGAACAGTTACAAAACAGACCAAGGTGAAATAGTTACTGGCCATCAGTCACCATTGGACAGTCCAATCTGTAGGTATCAAGGGCATGCTAAAAACGTGAACCCAGCCCAGTGGAGATGGAGAGCTGCTTAATCAGAATCTGTGCCATTTTTCCCTTCCTTTCTTATGCCTTAAGCCACTGCCCAAGTACCTCATAGCCTTGAGTGCACCAATGCTCACAGCTGCCTGATAAGAGGGTGATTTATGTGTTGTGCTTGTAGAAGGCCTAGATGTACACCAGGACACAATCAGGCAACTGCTGGTACCATTCTGTGTCTCAATATGAGAAGTAATCTTCCCTCCTTTAATTAATAAACCTTTCTGTTCCTGCCAGCAACAAGAAATACATGAACGCTCAGGCTTTGTTTTGCTTTGGTTTGAGAGGCATACTAATTCAGTTTGGAAATCTAGAAAGCATAGTGAGGGAGTTCAGGCGGGCAAGACACTGCCATTCAGTCTCTTCTCACACCCAGGGGGTCTTCGAATCTAAATGGGATGCCTGGGCAGCACCCATGGCTTGCTGTGACCATCCAGCAGTACGAGCTGGCTTTGCATTCCCAGTTAGTCCCAGTTAAAACTATGGGAGGATACTGACCCAGGGGACCGTCAGCTGCAGGGAGCAGATTAAAATTTGTTTTTCTCTTCAAGTGCCATTTGGCAGCAGCTAAAAAAATGAACAGCACAGAAGGAGATGCCAGGTAGAAACATCTATAATTTAGCTAATTGGCTGTAGTTGACACATATCTACTGGACTTCATGCTGTCCTTTAAAGAGGATTGCACTTCTGGGCAGGTATTAAATTCGGAGAGTGAATACTGCATGGACTTGAGGAGAAAGAAAAATGGGTGAGTTGGATATCTTTGCCAGACCCTCAGTGAGGAACCCCCCTGAGAACCACTGCCAGTGTTGGATTTTTAGTCTGTCTTGCTTCTTGCTTCATGAAAGTCAGATAAGCCTTCCTTTGGGCCCATACCACTAGGGTCAGCAAAGCCAAAGTTCACCTTATTACAACTGCACAGTGAGGTAGTGTTAGCTTTTGTAATCTCTAGAGCTGTCTTCCTCCTTTGCACATGAAGCAGTGTACCTGTCCAGTACCAGTACCAGCCCTGCCTCCTCAGGAAATGGAGCATCTCCTGTGCTCTCACACCCCTGGCAGCAGGACACGGCCTGAGGTCATGAAGATATACAGCCATGTTCTACTGTCCAGATAGTGGTGACAGGAACAAAATCAGTCAACTCTCACGCTGGGAGAGATGCTGAATCTCCCAGACAGGGCTGAAACAGCATTCCCACAGAGCTGAAGATTGATGCAGCCCATGACACACAGCAGGACCAGTACCAGGCAGGCTGCTCCTACGCCATATTCAAGCTGGATGAGTTCTGACTCCCTGTCTGTGTTTACTCACAGCTGGACATGTTTCTGCTGGTCTGATCAGCCGATGGTCTGAACCACCCTAGCCCTTGTGCCCTCACCTCACCAGCTCTTTTTCTCCACCCTTTCGTTGTTTTTCAGCTGCCTTACCTCACAGCCAGAGGAGTTCAACACCGTCGAGTGAACTTGCAGCCACGCCACCGGGCAGTCCCCACCACATTCTTGCATGGCAGACTGGGTGAGTGTCATGGGGATTGGGTGAGAGGATTCATCTCATTCAGTGCAGGAAGCTGAAAGCTTGCTAGCCTCAGGAAGAACCTCCCAGCACACAGGCAAAGGGAGAGCACAGGTACAGGGAACGTTTTGCAGGTGCTCAGTAGCCCACGCTTGCACCAGGCGTGTCCAGCCGGCCACCAGTTGGTCGCTTTGGGCTGACCGAGCTCGGCAGTGCCACCTGCACCCAGCAGCACTGCTCCCAAGCCATGCTGGATGGGCAGTGAAAGAAGCCTTGCAGGTTCTTCCCACTTGGGCACCATCTCCTTCCTCCAGCTTTCTATCAGTCAAAACAGCTGGTCTTTCTTTTAGCAAACATGCCGGCTGTCCAGCCTGAGATCTCTGTTGTCATGGCAGCATTAGGTGCCTACCATATTCGTGTGTGCAGCAACCACATTTTACTACAAGGTTTTCCCCAGTAATGTGACCTAATGACTATGAAGTGCAACTTTTTTCAGCTACCACTAACTTAGTGTGCTTCACCAAAGCATGAGTGACTCGTTAGGTGCAGGTAGCCATTACTCATGTAAATACAGTAATTGGGTTCTTGGGCACACCTCCTTGTGAGGCCAGGAATTCAAGGAGCAAACAAAAAGCCTTTTGCAAGCTCTCCTGAGTGTTCTCTGGCAATCTTCTGTAATTCTACCCTGTCACACGGAATAAAGATCACTTCCAGATCCCATCTAACTCAGCGCGCCCCACATTTTTACAGTTAAGTTGGGTTTGGTGAACACTGCTAGAAAGTTTCCAGCTAACGTCCTCGAAATCCCATCAGCCCTGGAATAAGAGAACAGATACAATCCCCTGAGCTGTGAGCAGGGACTAGGAGAGTTAACTCTGTAAACATTTCACTGTGCAGCCACTGGAAAATCTCATCCTCTTTAATTTCTTTGGTCACCTATGACCAAATTTGACCTCTGGTTGTACTCCAGCACCGTCTGTGAGTGCACTTTGAAATGGAGATGAGGGGAACTGTAACCACAAACCTCTTATGCCTTTGAATTTTAAATTCACACATTTGACATCCAGCCTCACATGGTGTTTGTGTTTGCCTCCAGCTTCAGTATTTTTCAGGGTCCATTTCACAGAAAGTCAAGGGATCGTAAGATTGGCAAAATGGCAGCTCTGGTGACTGCATGCTGAAATTTCCACTAGTAAGGGTTTTAATCGAGACTCAAATCTTTGTGTCTGTCTCCATCCCAATCCTATATCCTCTGAATATCTCTATGATAATCAGGAGTAAAAGTGGTTAGCAGCCAGCTGAGGCGTCTGCTTCCAAAATCCCAACATTTCTTAGTTGGGACAACTTCTGCTCCCTGTCTCTCATAGCGAAACACCATCAAGGCAAATTCTTAGCTGGTGAGTGTGAAGTTCTTTAGATTTATAACTTAGTTTGTGTACCAACAACCAGTGCAGAAGGAACTGGAGACAAATCAGTACTTGTTTCATGCCTGAGCACAGTCCCAAGCACATGTATAAATATGGTAGAGGCGGACAAAGTTTGCCATCAGAAGCAAAACACAAACTCCCCCACCACAGGAACAGGTTGTTCCCTCCCATTGTGAAGGAAAAGATTTACAGTTGTCCCTGACATGTTTTTGTGCCACTAACTCTTGTTCTGAAGATGATTCATCAACTTGTTTCCCCACTGGATTAATAAGCTCATAACAATGTCTGTGTCATTTCTTTTCTTTAACATTTCCTCTCTCCTCTTTCCTCCTTTTTTGCTCTCCTTTGTTCAGAGAAGCAACAGACAACTCACCCACTATGGATGAGTCTCAGTCTCCAACCCACCAAAGTACTGATGAATAGAGGTATAGTAAGGGGATGTTTTGTTCTTTCATCCTTCTGCCCTATAGTCCATGTTCCACGAACACAATGCGGCATCCCACCGTCCCCGAGGAGCAGCTGTGTAATTGTGTGCCTGTTTGGCAACAAGGCTTCTTTCAGTCCTTGGAATAGCAGCTCGGAGCCCTGTCTGTGCCTTTTCAGCACGTTTGTGGCTGTTGTGCTTTCCCCAGTGAAACAGGACTCCTTCCTCCGCACGAGTGGGCCTGGGGCCAGCCACTGCTGTGAGCGTTCCTGCAGAGGCTGAACAGGCACAGAGAGCAGGGACACGTTCGTGGCTGGGATGTCTCAAAGCAGCGTGGGCAGAGTGCTGTGGGGAGATGAGCACGGGTGGGTGGGGACCTCGGGGAGCTGGGCAGAGCTCCAGCAGTGCTACAGCCATGGCACCGAGTGCCCCTTGCTCCTTCATCCGTGCTGCAGAGCCGTGCAGGCTGTCTGCAGCAGTGAGGCTTCACGGAGAGAGGAGCAACCCTGGCCCAGTTCCTGTGAGAAGGCAGAGGGGGAAGGGTGGAGGGAACAAAAAACCCTTAGAATTGTTCTGTTTTAATTAAACTGCAGTCACCGTCTGACACTCTCATTTGAATCCACAGCCATTCACAGCTGGCATCTGTTGAGTATTTCAAGCCCGGCTCTCTGGAGATAACCCATAAACCTCTGTACTCCAGCAGAGAGCTGGGAAACAAAAGGCTCTTTAATGTGCAGCCGGGTCATGGCCTTGCTTAGGTTCCTCCCAGACATCAGTCCCAAGGAAACCAGGTGGAAAACGGGAGAGAGGAGGCAGGAACTGCTGGGCTGCATCAATGTGAGCTCAGTCCTGCGAGGTGGGGAGAGGGGGCAGGGAGAGAGAATCCCACAGGAAGCAAAGTGCATTTCCTGCTTCTGGCCTCCAAACAATCTGAGATTTGGAAGTTGGTTCAGATCAAAGCTTGAGAGGGAGATCAATTCTGAATGCTGTTATGCAGATATAGCAGCCATTTTTCAAAATCTCAACAAGGTTTTGACCTCAGTGTTTTCTTCTCGCAAGGAGCTCAGTAGAAACTGAGCCAGGGGCTGACCCTGACCTGAGCCCTAAGATAAATGGCAAATTCCCATCACGTCCCTCATCTCCTCTGTGCAAGCAAACAAAAAGCCAGGCAGCAAAAGAAACTGTAGCTTGTCAAGGGAGGCACCCCAAGACCAGGCTGTATATGACAAAACATGGTCCTTTCCACAGCATACTTGACACCCTCTCACACATCACCAGGTTTTGCTGCCTCAGCTCCAGACAGCCACGTTGCTCTGGCACTGCTGGTGATGCAGAGCCTCTGCCGGAGCAGAAATCCCAAGGACTGTGAGGTGCTGCAGGAGGGCACCCTGACCCTCCCCCTTCTCACTGGGTGTTATGGCCAGGAGCTCTTCAGATGTGCTTCATGGAGGGCCTCCTCAAAATGCTCAGCCTTCTGTCTGTCTCCAGGTTGCTACAGGGAGTGGGACTGTTCATAAAATGATGTTTTGTGCCCATGATTGAACTCTCCAGCAGTTCTCATTGCCCTAACAAAAGTTTCCTTTCTCCTGCAGGACTTACAATGATAGCTGTTTCCTGGATTCTCCCCTCTATCCAGAATTAGCAGACGTCCAGTGGTATGGACAGGAAAAAGCCAAGCCTGGGACTCTAGTGTGAACCCCTGACCTCAAATTAATCACATCAATGCCATTCTGAGATCACCTCACTGCCTCTCATTTGCCTTACCCAGATGCACTGTCACCCAGCACCAGCTTCAACTCTAAGCACTTTTCTCACGATGCAATTCCAGATGACATTACAGAGCATTGGCCCTGAGACGTCCACCACCACCGTGCAGGATGGCAGCGCGTCCCATCGCCAGCCCAGCACACGTCCCTGCAGAGCCTGTGCCACGGCGGCTGCAGTCAAGGCACACGTGTGAGCAGCCATCTCAGCAGCTGGCAATGGAAAAAATGATTTTTTTCCTTTCAAACGACGGGAGCCTGTCCAGGCTTACATCAGATCTTGCTGTTCTGTGGCATGTAACGGCAGTCAGATTTCCATGTCCTGCAATCTGATCCAACAGAGTATTAATTTAATGGGGGGGGGGGGAAGGGGTGGATACAAATTGGGACAGAAGCTGAGAATTACTCCTGAAAGGAGTTCTTTCATGAAAAAATACAAAAAAAAAAAAAAAAGCAAAATCCTCTCACTTCAAATACATCTAAGAGTCTCGCAGTCAGATCAGTGCTGCCAAAATAAACCCAACCAGTGTCAATGGGACGAGTTTGTTCAGCGAGTTCTCGCTACAAGAACATCTCTTATTTAATGACAGACACAACCACCTCCTGCAAAACAGCATTTCCTTCTTTGCTTCGAGCCCATCCGAACAGAGCCCCACGCACTGAAGACACTCTGGAGGTCTGGGTTGGTATCACAGCATCTACAAGCTACTATCAGACTGGACAAACGAGGTGTACAAAGGATTATCTACAGCAGAGGCAAGAACTGTTCCTCACAGCAGCTCCGTGGCTGGCAAAGCTGCGTACCAACACACAGAGCTTAGGGTTGTGCTGTTGGTTTTCTCAAACTCTGAGGAAGATAAGAATTGTCCAAAAACCTTTCCACAAGCAGATACAGCCAATGAATTCTAACCTGTCTCTGCAAAAATGTTAACATCAAATCAAAGGGAAAGCACATCACAATCTAATTGACACGGTGAAGCTGCATTAACATATCTGTTCCAATTATCTCACCTTGGTTAGCACCAGTGTAGCAAAGGGCTCGTCACCACCAGCGCGCCGCTGGCTGGGAGAACCGGTCTGTCAGGAAGCATGCGAGCAGCTTGGGTTTAGCAAGCAGCAGACGAAGCAAAATTTCACATGGAAAGCAACCACAAGAAAGAGAAGTGACCGAGCGAGGCGTTCAACGCGAGCAGGAGCTGCCTACTGACACCACAAGGAATTGGACGGGGGAGTCGTGGAAGGAGCTGCAAGTTTACACTTACCTTTGAGCAATGCTTTATACATGTCAAGCCATGGAACTTTCAAAGGCCTCAAAGACACTTTTGTAACGAACAAGTGCACAATCTCGGTGGATGTTGAAGCTGGCACGTCTAGTCTTCACTGCGGTGCTATGCTGTTTTTATTGCCACTAGATGGGGGAGGCGCCCGGCTGGCCCCCGTTTGCGCGTGCAAACGATGATTTCCTATGGGAAAGGCATTACAGAAACGGCTGGAGGGGGTGACTTAGTGAAAAGCAGAAACTGAAGTTAGCTTTAGTTGAAAACAAAAGAAAAGTGCGAGTGTGTGCGTGTTCCAAGAATAACAACAGCGTCTACCAGACCGAGTAGGGCAAAACGTTCAAAACGAAACGCCGTGACTTGGGGGCTGCCACACCTTTCGGCATCAGGATTGCTGGAAAACTGCATTCCAGGCTTTAAAAGAGAATGGGCTCTTCGTAATTAGACTTGGAAAGATGGTGGGCTTTCTAAAAATGAATGCCAGCCACTCGTGCCGATTCCTTTCCCCAGTGTGCATTTGGGATGTTAGCTTCAGCCCTGGGCCCACGCCTGCAGTTCTGCTGCCTGGCATCAATGGCAGGGCTGCTCTGACACACTTCTCTCTGTGCTTTGGGCTTGTTAGCATGGGAATTGGCTTAAACTCCTAATTGAATTTTTAGGTGGATGGGAGATAAGCACTGATTACTGACGTGCGCTGCTAAGATTCCATAGCTAAAGTGAAAGAATTAAATAAGGACCAAATTAAGCAGCAGCAAATTAGCCCATGGATTTTTTTAGGGGCTCTGAGCAACTGTCTGTTTTCTTTTTAATTTCCTTGCTAAGTGGCTTCGGGTTGGTTGTTTTGTTTTGTTTTTTAATTATTCTTTTTCTGTGTACTTTTAATTAAAAAGAATTCAACAACAGCGGCACTACGGGGCCTCTGGGCACTACAGGAACAGTAATTCCTCCAAGACAAGATCTGCAGTTTTGCAGCAAAGGTTCAAAGGTGGCAGCCCTGAAATTGGGGGAAGAAAAAACCAAGTCAGCCTGAATTGCAAACAGGCTCGAGTCGAGAAAGAGCTTTCGAGAAATGGATTGGGTTTTGCTTTGTGTTCTGCTTTTCTGTTCTGCAATCAAGGCACACGTGAGCAGCCAGTCTGGTAGTAAAGACAGATTAAGTAAAACAGGTTTTACTGTTTAGCTCAATTCAATTAAACACAAATGTACATACAGCGTTAATCATATGAGATTAACATAGTGAAGTATAACGTGGAGGGGTGCATACCTAGCTGTTCTGTACGAGCACTTGACTACCGACGTCAGCCCTCCCTTCCTTTTTTGTTTTTCGAGGCTCCATCTGCCATGAAGCCACCGTTGCGTTCTCAGTCTCCCCGTCTGCAGGTCCCTCTGGATGGGCAGCATTGTGGCACGGCCCCGCGCCGCGCTCTGCTGTGGGCAGGGTTTCTTTTTAAACGCTGTGAGATGCAGTCGAGTGTTGGAAATGTTGAATCAGTCCCATTTGTTTTCACTCTGTATTAGTTTTAGTTCCAGGCGTAGCCGATCCCCATTCAGGTGCTATCAGATGACCAGTTACTGCTTAGTTACCTAGATGTAAAGTTTTACATATATATTAATGTCAATAGTTTTATTACCAGTTGTGTAAAACGGACTCTCTAGTTTAAGAAAAAGAAAAAAGAAGGAAAAAAAAAAACAATTAGGTCTCTCCTGAAATTGACTTTAGAGCATGTAAAATGATTTTACTGGATTCTGTTAAACTGTAATCAAGGAAAAGATATGTATGTTGTAGAAAAAGTTGCAGAATTAAAAAAGATCTGCTTTTAATTTATTCTTTTTGTATTAAGAATTTGTATAGTTACCTTTACATTTTGCAAAACGGTGTTGTCAACACTTCCTTATTAAAGCATTTTCAAAATGAAACCTCGCCGTGGTCTTTTCAAGCCAAGGAATCCCTTCCATGCTGAGCAGCGGCGCTGCAGGGAGTGCTGAGCCTTGCCCAAAGGCAGCTCCTCACAGACCCTGAGGGCACAGGGCTGCCTGCAGGCTGGGCCGGGCACAGAAGGCTCCGCTGCTGCTCTGCTGGGTTCTCTGAGTGAGAGGGCTTTGCCTTCCGCAGTGCACTGCGACAGCCATTGCTGCGTGTTGGGGACAGCAGCGATCCCAGGCACTTCCCAACCCGCACAGGCTCTCCATGCAGGCCCCACCACTTCCCAGCACGGTGCCTTCCCCTTCTTCCCACCTCCTCTCGTTGCACAGGACCCTGCAGTGTCTGTCTGGGAAGCTCCTTACCACCAAAACCCCTCCGTGTCACAGGGAGACCTCAGCTGCACCAAAGCGGGTTGAGCTGGGAAAGCAGCTGACCCTCATCCAGCATCATTCACTGGAGACAATCTTCTGTAGCAAACGTCTGTCGGGTTGGGGCAGGGCAAGATGGCCGTGCTAAATGTCTGATACCATCCTGGCTCTGGGGATCGGTGTGGTGTTACTGCAAGAGCTGGGGCAGCCCGCTGCTCTCCTCCAAGGCAGAGCAGCAGCTCAGGAGTTTCATGGCGTCGGTGCCTCTGCATCTCCCCCCCCGGTGGTGCTTCCCCAGCAGGGACGCAGACAAGAGCGGTGATGCTGACAGCTCACACCGTGCCAGCAGGACGCGGGTCAAGCAACCCACACGTAGCTCTGTCACCACTGCCAGCAACATCAGAAATTGTCTCTATCTCAACCGAGCTCATCTTCGGTTGACTGGATCTACCATAGAGACTGAATGGCAACCAGCGTTACAGAACCTCATTTTGCAGTCAAATTAGAATCATCAAGGTTGGAAAAGACCACCAGCCCGCCCATCAGCCAGTCCCACCGTGCCCACAGCCCTCAGTGCCACATCTGCCTGCTTCCTGAACGCCCCCAGGGACGGTGACCCCACAACCCCCCATGCAGTCTGTGCCAATACCTCACCACTCTTTCTGAGAAGAAACGTTTCCTAATATCCTATATAATATCCTATATAAACTCTTCCACGCTCTCAACATCTGCCCAACTTGTCCCCACAAATGCCCCTAATAACCTAACTGATCCCACATGCACTATCCAAAGAGCCTTTCTAGCAGCACAGACCAAGAGCAACCAAGGACTTAAAGGCACATCGCCACCACCAGGCACAAAACCAAGCAGAAACAAGAAAGTGGTATCAGCCAGGCCATGGAGGGGTGGGGAGCTGCACTGCAACCAGGAGCTGCTGGGTCCTACTGCACTGGGTCCTAGACTGAAGTCCTAAAAGCACTCCTGACATTTCTGTGGTGAATGCACGACTTCACCCCAAGACATTGGATTGCACCTGGCGAACGCAGCAGTTATCAGAAATAAACATCTGCACAAGTCCAGGGGGAAAAGTCAGAATCTCTGAAGTGAAACACGCCATCCCCACAAAACCTGTCCAACAGTTGCACAGCTGCACCACACCCACTCGTCCTTACACTTCTCTTTGATAAAAGGCATTATGAAGGATTGGAGCACGGTCTGCTAGCTGGAGCTGGGGCCATCCAGCTGCACAGAGCCTCAGAGCAGCGATGAGGAGCAGTTGCCATGACAGTGTTCCTCTTGTGATCCCCCCGGGGAGCAAAGCTGGCTTTCACGTGCCGGGCAGCTGGAAGCTCTTACACAGATATGCCGTGAGAAAGCACTTGGGTTTCTTGGTTCCACATGCGGCACCATTCCATGGATTGCAAGGGGATAAAAGCTCTTCCGCCATGGGAGCCATTCAGCCAAGGCGGCTGTATTTCAGGGACTGTCAGCAAGAAGGCGTGCTGCTTAAATTGCATTCCTCGAGCTTGATTAGACTAAAGCATTCCAAGCCCAAATTCACATCCCTACAGGAGGCTCATCCCCATTCAAACCAGTACTCAGGGTACCATTAAATGGCTCCTTAATAATTAGCTCTAAAGCGGGAGGGAAAAAATCTATTTAACACTATTATGGCTGCCCTAAGGAATCCAGTTCCCACTGAAGCCAACGTTACAGAGCTCCCAAACCAGCCCTCGGCTCTCGCTGCACTTTCCAGGGAAATTACAGCTCTTAAATGAAGACAAAATTCTATCTCAATTATTTAAAGAGTTCAAAACGAAGGTCAGGGTAAAGATTTAGAAACAGCTCAGGAAATCATCTGGGTGGGGAAAGGGATAAAGTTGCGGTGTTGTAAATGTTTTCTGTTGTAAAAATGCTCTCTCTACACTGCAAAAGAAATCCCCAGGCACCAGAGTTAATGAAACTCTTCCACGCTCTCAACATCTGCCCAACTTCTCCCCACAAACCCCCTCTGTTTCCCAAAGGCCCCCCCAGGCTCCACTTAGACCTCGTCAGCCTCATTTTTATTACTTCTAAACTGTTTAAACTCTTGACATTTTCGCTGCGGTCAGACGCACCAGACCAAAGGACCTGTAAGTCAGAAGCAGCCCTTCAGAATGCAGAGCCTCCAGAAGAATCTGGGGAAGCTCCTTGAGATAAGCCAAGCCAGCACACAGCCCCAGCATCGGACCTCGCTGTGAACACCTGCTCTAAACTCCTTCAACAAGGGCACCAACAGCTCAAGAAGAAATTCAACATCCAGCAGAATAGATCTGTGGCTGCTACAAATGCTGTACCTGGGCATGGGAGGCCCTAATTATGTTCTCTGCAATGCCCAGCAGACTGGAATTTTCTCCAGATGTATAAAAACAGGATTTGGAAGCCTGAAGAGCCACAAGATAACTTCTCCCAAGCTCAGGAGGTTTATATTAATAATGTCATTATACAACAAAAAAAAAACAAGCCAAATCAGATGAACTCAAGATCAAAAACTCTTTCCACTGAAACTGGGTGTATTTTTCAGCTGAGAAATATATAAACTTCTTCTTTCCCCACAAATACCACATGAAAGATTTGCCATTAAAATCTTCCTATTTACAGAAATAACGAGACTGAAGTTTGACTGCTTCCCCATCTTCCCACATCAGCCTCCAGTGGGAAAGCAGCCAACAAACTCCACACGGCCTCTGAGTCTCACCTACAGCTCCGAGGCAGAACAGATTGGTTGAGGTCAGCCTGCACAACGTTGGGAACAGCAAACTGAAGTAGAAGTGAGGGTCACAATCAGTGCCCCCTGGTCGTGGCCACCCCACCCTTACAAAGCTGGAGCTGGGATCAGGTCAGCGTAAAGACTGAAAAAGAAATCTACCCAAGTGGGGCTTGTTCAAAGGAAGCCGGAGAGAAATCTGCTTTATGCTTTCTTGCAAAGCCCACCCTCAGTTTCTGTCGGTGTAAAGCACAAACTGCTCCATCTCCTCAGTGCTCTCCAAGTCCAGGAGATGACAGTGTGAGGCATGCTTGGTCACCCAGAGCCTCACAAAGCGTTGTACTCCACGCATTTCGATGGGTCTGTTGGGAAGTGCTTCTGGCAAATGGTCATCAGCCTCTTCAGCCCCTAGAGATGAACAAAGACAATTCTCTCATAAAACTGCAGCTGTCACACAGCCTATTTTTACTTTTCAGCTTAACGAGAAGAATTAAAAGCAAATGGCTGCTATTTCATTTCTTTTCTTTGCTGAATTGGTATTCCATTATTTTAAGTTTTATCAACAGTTCTCTCTGAAAAGTGCTAATTATTACAAATATGTTCAACAAGCCTAAATGCTGCATTTGGCTCCCACCAACCCCACACAGCAATACAGGCCTGGGGAAGAGACATGGGAAGCTGCCTAGTAGAGAAGGAGCTGGGGTGCCCCTCACAGCAGCTGCACACAACCAGCACTGTGCCCAGGTGGCCAAGAAGGCCAATGGCTCCAGGCCTGGACATCTGGCTGAATCCCTTCACTGAAAGGGTGGTCAGGCATTGGCTGCCCGGGGAGGTGGCTCCCCAAGGTCTCCATCCTTGGATGTGTTTTAGAGATGTGTGGACATGGCCCTGAGGGACATGGCGTAGGGTGAGACTCTGCAGTTCAGGCTGATGGCCGGATGTGGCGTTCCTGGAAGTCTTTTCTATCCTGGATGGTTGTAAGATTCTATGAGTTCAAATATTAAAGGAGTTCGTGGATTAACTGAAGAGATCATAGGTTTCATTCTTGATGATAGATTCATGGTGAAGAACCACAGTAATACCTTAAGCTCTCTTCTTCACCAAGGCAGAAAGCAATGCCATTACAACAAACCACGCGTACAATAACCCTGAAAATTGAGATGTTAAGTAATTCTCAAGAGCAAAAAACTATTTCTGACACCAAAACAAGCTGAAAAACTGAGGAGAAAAAAAAAAAATCCATTTCTGGAGAGCAGAGGTGTCATTCCTTCCCATAGTATTACCACACTCGATCCCACTGCAGTGGAGGAAAACAAAGGCAGACCATGGACTTCTCAGTTCTTTCAAGACACTGATTGCCAAAATCCAACATGACAGAAATACCATCATTATTCTCTTTAAGTCACACACAGAGGTCTAACAAAGAAGGAGAGAAACTGCTGTGGTGGTAGCATAATTTGGCAATGATATTATAACTCCACAACAGCAGAAAGCAAAGTGCCTGTCATTAGATCTTCAACATCTAACTGTAAAGGAAAACAACTAGACAGAAGAGGCTTTGATATTTTCAGCGCCAGCAGGAATCTGGAAAACATATCCTAAAACCATAAAGACTCATTGTGTGAGATGTCAGTGTTGCAAATTCACTGTGTATGATCCCGAGTTCAGTGCTGTGAGCAGAGATAATACTCCACGTGATCCAGTTTGAACCAGACCAACTAAAGAAGATCTTGTATTTAAAATCAAGAAGAACAAGAAGTTAAAACCAACTTTGTTTTGGCCCATCAGTAAGTTGTGTACTTCAGAAGTGTATCTACTTCACAGAGAAACAAAATGCAGAGGGAAGATGAACAAGATTTCTTTCAATAGATGCCCCTCCGAAACAGAGGGAACAAGCTGGGAAAATCCATTCAAGTTGCATTTTCCAGGTAGGTTAAGAGATCAAAAGGCACCACACATAAGCTACTTTGTCCATCAGATAATGCCAAGCAAGTAATAAAATAAATCAAGTGCAATCTGTCTCTGAAGATATGCAATCCACATACCACCTCACAGCAGAATGATCACATTTGTTGGCTCTGCAAATGTCTGGAGCTCCTTCTGACTTCACAGTATTTCCTCCAGTTATGATACTAAAAGCTATAGTCGAAATCAAAGGTTATTCTTGTATCCTCCAAAGAAAGTCAAGACAGAGGAGGAAGTTGTATTTTGCAAGCCATGTGCTTGCAGACATCTGCAGAAGTTGCAGTGGGAGTCGCTGAGCTGCAGCAGGAAGGTATTTGTGTAAACCTCTCCTGACAGCTTTGAGCTCCACAATGCTGCCCTCAGGCTTCACGGTTCAGCCAGGAGGGCTTTATGTCAGTGAGACTGCAACTGGCAGAAGGCAAACACAGCTCACCATGTGAGGAGAGATGAAGCACCCAATTCCTGTGTGTGTGTTCACACTTGGTGCTAACACAGGATCACAAGCACTAAGATGTGAAAAAATCCATGAGACTGAACAGCACACAGGCCCAGCTCCATCTATTACATGGCCCTTGTACTCTGACTTAAACAAAGACAACTGCTGGATGCAGCCAAAGAGCTGTGACCAATGGTTCTGTGTCAGGTGGAGGCTGGTCACAAGCAGTGTCCCTCAGGGGTCAGTCTTGGACCGGTGCTCTTCAACATCTTCATCAGTGACACAGATGATGGCAACAAGTGCACCCTCAGCAGGTTTGTGAACGACAGCAGCTGAGCGGTGTGGTCCACACACTGGAAGGAAGGGAAGCCATCCAGAGGGACCCAGACAGGCTGGAGAAGTGGGCCCCTGAAAACCCAATGAGGTTCAACAAGGCCAACTGCAGGTATTTATACAAAGTGGGGGGAGATCTCATGGAGAGCAGCCTGTGGAGAAGGACCTGGGGGTCTGGACGTGAGCCAGCAGTGTGTGCCTGCAGCACAGGTGGCCAGCTGTGTTCTGGGCTGCATTAAAAAAGAGGTGGCCAGCAGGGAGAGGGAGGTGGTTGTCCCCCTCTACTCAGCTCTTGTGAGGCCCCATCTGCAGTACTGCACCCAGGCCTGGGGTCCCCAGCACAGGAAGGATGTGGAGCTCTTGGTGCAGGTCCAGAGGAGGGCACTGAGATGATGAGAGGGCTGGAGCACCTCTCCTATGGGGAAAGGTTGAGGGAACTGGGCTTGTTTAGCTTGGAGAAGAGAAGGCTCCAGGGAGACCTCATTGTGGCCTTCCAGTTCTTGAAGGAAGTGTATAAACAGGAGGGGGAACGGCTGTTTAATAGGGTGGATAGTGATAGGACAAGGGGGAATGGTTTTAAACTGGAGGGGAGGTTCACGTTAGATATTAGGAGGACTTTTTCCACACAGAGGGTGGTGAAGCACTGGAACAGGTTGCCCAAGGAGGCTGTGGATGCCCCATCCCTGCAGGCATTCAAGGCCAGGCTGGATGTGGCTCTGGGCAGCCTGGTCTGGTGGTTGGCGACCCTGCACACAACAGGAGGTTGGAACTGGATGAGCATTGTGGTCCTTTTCAACCCAGGCAATTCTGTGATTCTATGACTGCTCCTGGAACTCTTTAACCCCATCACTCACAATTACAAAGCTAACATTTCTCAAAGATTCCCTAATCCCCAAACCCAAACGGTTGGATTTCCACAGTCAGCCTTACCTGAATGTATTTCCTTTGAGTTTCATCATTGAGAACGTGGGCGACGTGCTTGGAGAAAATCTTCTCACGACCCGTTCGAGCGTGGATGCCCACCATGGTGACACCGATGGGCCACGGCGCGTTCCCAATGGCCATCTGGAGGTAGGCATCGTTTGCCTGAAGAAATACAGGGCTAGGCACACTTAGCAACAACAGAAAGGGCATCTGATGTTTTCAGTGCAGTCTGCTCAGGTTCCCATCAGCTGTTCTGCTGTGCTCACCTATACTACCTTTTCTATTTTGGTTACAGACTAAATCAGGGAGTGTTGAGGGAGAGCAGCCAGCTTCCAAAGAGGCCGAGAGCCAGATCCATTACAAAACTGGGTCAAAGAAGCACATTTATAACAGTGTTTATGAACGGAGTAGCAGCACTGAATGAATCTGCAATTTCACCATCAAGAGAGCAGACCCCATTTCTTAATATAGAGCTGAAGCAGACACGGGCCCTGAGGAAGAAAGGGAATAAAACATGAAGGGAAGACAAACACAAAGAAAGGCAGAAAGGCACAGATGATAGAGCTTAAAAAAGCAGCATAGCGAGTGAGAACCAGGAAAACAAAGGGGGAAAAAAAACACATGCAATCACAGAAACACAGCTTCAAGGACCACTTGGTGCAGGACATTCCTCCCCTACTAGCAAGCAGCCAGAAAGCTCACTGATGAAGAGTTCATTTACCATCTCCCATTCAGAGACTACACAATCAGAAGTAACAAGCGTGACCAGTGGGTGCAGCTTCCTCACATTTGGCACTGGCACAAAATGGGAGGTAACTGAGGGTGCAGAAAGAGAGCTGGGAGCAAACCTGAAGAAGGGGCAGGACTTTGCCTTCACCTACATGAGGCAGCATCTCAGCAGCCTCAGCCAGATATCTGTTTGCTGCCTGACACGTGGTTCTGTAATGAAGCACTGTATGAGAGCAGACAATTAAAGACCCTTTTAAGAATGTCACAAAAGGGTTAATTGAGGCTGAGAAGGCAGCTTACATTCTGCTCTTTGCCTGCTATCACAAGCTGATTTCAAAACTCGTGTTTTTAAAGAATGTCATCTGAGAAAGCAGGAACAATCTGGGGCTGGGAGCGTTCAGTCGGCTGAACAGCGGAAAAAACAACAAACATACAAGACAGCAGGATGCAGCCAGACACAAATCTCCTCAGAAGCAAAATGGAAAATGGCATGAGGATCTTTAAAAGCAAAAGGCTCATTAGCCTCACTAAAAACAAACACCAAAACAAGACAGCTTCCAAATGTATCCTCAGCCTTCCCCTAAATCAGTCTGTGAAGTTTACATACAGCCAAGCACCCGTGAGACAGAGCAGCAGAGCTGATTTACTGAGGAGGTACGCTGCATTCCTGCACACTCACTGCTGTGTTGGGAAGGCACTGGAAAGGGAATTTCAGCATAATGATGATAGCCAAAGGAAAAACAAAGCTCCCAAACAAAACCCCACTATCATACATCCCGGTTTAGTTCTACTTTAAAGTGATTTAAACATGCCTGAGGGCATCTGAAGTTTTTTCAATCACAAAAGCAGGTTTGCTTGCTTACTAGACAAATTACCCCAAGTCCTTGGGACTTCAACAAGAAATACTATAAGACCAAAGGCAACACAAAAGTGAAGTTCTGCATACACTGGTTGCTTAAGCAAACGCTGTCACAATTTGAGTTCCATTTCTTGAGGCAGCTACAAACAAAAGCTAATGCTGCCTTTCATCTCAAGTGCCAAAGTACTTCTGCCTCTTTAAGTGAGCAGACTTTGTCCAAAAACCTTTTCATTAACTTATCTTGATCTTAACAGACCAGCTAACATGAGTATGGCCAAAGAAAGGGACAGTGTCTCGTATTCAGTAACTCAATTCCCCTAATAGCTAATTAATTAATCAACATCCCACTCCTTCTCTGGGGACATTCAAGACCCATCTGGATGCCTACCTGTGCAACCTGATGTAGGGAGCCTGTGTTGGCAGTGGGGTTGCACTCAATGATCTCTGAGGAACTTTCCAACCCCTACAATTCTGCGATTTAACCTTTCAATATCAGGTTTCCAACTCACTACTCCTCTGCAATGGAACCATCTCTGAAATCCTACTGGTGCTTGCAAGCTCTGTAGTTTCACCAACCTCAGAAATGCTTCTGACAAACTGTGGATCACACACTGCCTGAAGCCCAACCATTAACAGCCTGTTCTCATTTTAGGTGAATATATGTTGGGTGGATTTCCAGCTACATGTCTTTAAGATGCAAAAGGAAAAATGTTCACTTGCAACTTCAGTCTATTGGAGCCAGCCAGCCTAAACACGCTGGAAGAGAGCAAACAAACGTACCTTCACATATTCTCTCTGCAACATGAATTTTATAATATCTGTTATTGATTCTTTGATGTCTGCAGGAAGTGTCTACGAGAGAAAAAAAAAAAAAGGAGAACAAACAGCTTTACATCAGAATATGCAGCTCAGGAAAATCACCCTACTCAGCATTTATACAAAGATGAGCACCTTCCCTAGCTTCAGGACTTCAATGAAGGGAAACGTCTTCCTTATTTAGATGAAGGATCTGAAGCAAGAGAGGTGAAGCAGTTACACCTTGTAGCTCGTGGCAAAGTGCAAAATACAATCCCTATTTTCTACCATGTTGGCAACCCAATGAACAGGTGATACACGAAGCAGCACCTGGAAAAGCAGAAGGTAAGCAGAAGAACTCATGGATCAAGATAAAAAGGTCAAAACTGGGAGTCATGGGCTCTGGCCAAAGAAACCCTGACCACCTCATTCACCCTCTCACCTTCAGCTGAAATAACATTACCTTAAGAAAGGACATTAACAACTGGGTGCTTTGAAAGCAGCAACTAAAATAAGCCTTAGAGGACACTGACATCTAGAAGTGACTCACCCTTTTCCGAAGTTTTCTGAAGAGTGGCCTCAGGTAGGACTCTGTCTGCTTCTGAGTGGCACTGTTCAGCTTTCCCTGCACTCCCCGCTTCACGTAGTCCTCTCTGGCATTCAGCTCCTTCGCCCAAACTCCAAGAAGAAACTGCACAGGGAACAAGCAAATCTGTGTCCTAGTGCCACCTAGCGCCCGCACTGCCAAAGCAGACGGAACAGTGGTTTAAACCAACACAGCAAAAGGAATCTTCACTTGGATAAAACAGAATCCACGAGGCAAAAAGCCTCTTTCAGCTGTACGGGCAGAGGGGGATAGGAAAAACTATCCTACCACAGAATCTTGTGGAGGAGGAGGTGGGAGTGTGAGCAAAAAAAAAAGAGTGCACATAGAAAACCAGGAAACAGTGACAGACTTATCAGTGCTGCCAAGGTGAAGGGGATCATTAGGAGAGCAGTGATGTATGAAGATGATACAGTTGTCTCAGAACAACTTCTGAGAGTGAGCAGGTAGAGACTCCTTGGGAGTTTTCAATGCAGTGGTGGCAGACAGAAGAAACTGCATTCAACTGCCTCAGTTATCATCTGCAAGTCAAAATCAGAGCTGTTTGGAAGAGTAGAGGCAGATTTTGAAGAAGGTTGCTCTCCTCTCCCAAGAGCTCTTGCCCACGTCTCACAGCAGTCACTACTTCACTAACCAAGGCAATGGAGTATCAAGCACTACAAAAAGGCAAAAATATCTCCAGCACAACGAAAGTTTACCTCTCCAAGCAGATGGAAGCTCACCAAATGTATCTGCATGATAGTAAAAGGTATCTCACAGCTTAACACATCTGTGAGAGTGGGTTACCTTCAAGAATTTTGTGATAATATCCATATCATAGTGGTCATCACCCCGTCCTAAGGACTCTCCCAAAGCCTGGAATAGGAGTCAAAAGACAAAGATTTCCACATTATGTAGATACTTGCCACCAGCACAGCAGAATGTGAACTGAAGTTCTACTAACAAACCTAAGTATCAGGTGGGAAATTGAAAGAAACAAACAGCCACATATGTTATGAGGCCCATTATTCTACCAAAAACATTCCAGTCAAAAAGCCAAGATGATTATTTCTGAGCAGTCAATAGAACAGTAATTTTTCGTTCATTAACTACAAAATCACTGGTATAATTAGCAGCTGTCTAACAGCACTGAATTAAGGCAAACTGTGGGTGCATTGCATTTTTGAGATACCCAGAGCTATACAATCACAGAATGGTTTGGGTTGGAAGGAACCATGAAGAGCATCCAGTTCCAACCCCCTGCCATGAGCAGGGACAGCTTCCACCAGCTCAAGCTGCCCATCCAACCTGGCCTTCATCACCTCCAGGGATGAGGCACCCACAGCTTCTCTGGGCAGCTGTGCCAGTGCCTCAGCATCCTCAAAATGAAGAACTTCTTCCTCAGGTCTAAATTAAACCTACCTTATTTTTAGTTTAAAACCATTATCCCTTGTCCTACCACCACTCTCCCTGACAAATTGGCCTTCCTTGTCTTTCCTTATGCCCCCTTTATGCGCTGGAAGGCTGCCACCAGATCTCCCCAGAGCCTTCTCTTATCCATGCTAAATAAGCCCATCTCTCTTAGCCTTTCTTCATAGGAGTGGTGCTTCAGCACTCTGATCATCCCCATGGTTCTCTGGACTTGCTCTAACAGCTCAATGTTCTTTTTGTGCTGGGGGCCTCAGAACTGAACACAATACTCCTATTTACTTAATTCTCATTTCTTTCTTTCTTTCTTTCTTTTTTTTTTGAAGTTGTTTTATTTCCCTGATGCATTTGGGCGTTCATTTAATTTTAACTGCAACGTTGAGGGAATAAATGCAAAAAACAAAGAGAAAACCACACTACCATGCTCCAGTGCTCTAGCTTCCTGCCAAAACCTGGGAACTGTTAATATTAACATCAATTTTTAGAAACATTTTCCAGTAGATAAACTTGGGATTTAAAATTTCTTTCCATTGTCCTCACATTTCCAAACTATGATGTATTTTTAAAGTCTCCTAGCTGTGGAACATTCAATGCAATCCTTTTTCTGCAAGGGAATGCAGTTACAGAAGCATGCTTACAAACTTTTCCAATGAAGCATTACTTCCATGGTTCAAATCAAGCCCGTAAAGTCGTCCTAAAAAGGGGATGCTGTGAGAACTAAGAGTTTGATAAAAGCAGCCCTATCACAACTGGTATCCATTCTAGAAGTGTCATTCCTTTACTCCAGAACCCACAGTACCCTAAGAAGGGAGGCAAGGCTGCCTCCTAACAAAAACGTATCCGTTTCAACTCTCAGTCATAGATCAGATTACTTCTGATTTGAAGGGACATTAAGAAGATTAACTTCAGCAAAGAGTTCTGAAGATTAAGGGTAAAGTTCTTTAGCTCAAGTTAATGTGCTTTTCAAAATACCAGCCTAAAATACCAGGTGCTGAATTTTCCTGTTCTTTCAAAGCCCAGCACTCACGCTCACCATTTATGGGCCATACCTTCACAGTACTCTCTGTATTTGCTGTGAACTGCCTACTTCTAACTTTTACTTCTTTACCCCAAAAGACTTTATATAAACTCTCTTTCCATGTGTCTGTTTTTGAGAACCCATCTTTCTTATATAAGGAAAATTCATCTGCTCTAAGCTCATCACCTTCTCAAATACTCATTGGAAAGGATTCGGAATTTGTCATCAGGCAATAGCTTTGCATTTAATTCTTGACTCCCAAAACCTTTGCAGGGAGAATACTGTTTTGCCTGCTGCTCTTTCCCCATTTCTGATGAGGTGCTGTAAGCAAACACCAGGTACTTATACTGCAATTCAAGCCTTAGCAGTATTCACTTCCAAACAGCATATTTAAGGACTTTTCAGACTGCCAAAACTAGGTGCTGTAAACTAGGTTAACTCTGAACAATACTGAAGCTTTCTCACAACAATACAACAGCATGATATACCTAAAATCTCTAAATTAATTACCCACCACATACCTCCAGTTCTTCAATAGTAGTATTCTCCTCATGGACTTTCAAGTCGTTCTGTGAGTCATCATCTCCTGCTTCTTGGCCACCTACAATTTCATTCAAGTATTGCTGATCAATCTTATCCAAGGCAGCTTTCAGGTCATTCCTCAGGCCCTAGAAAAGATAAGAAATGATTTGTTTGCAAAAAAAAAAAAAAAAAAAAAAATCCAAAAAAAAAAAGGGGGGGGAAAAAAAACCCCCCCCCCCTTCCAAAAAATGCCACAAAAAACAGAGCAAATAAAACCAGTTCAGAGCAGTCACAGTGAGCACCCAACTGCTGTTTTTAACAAAAGCCAAATTCTACAAACACATGAGATTACACATATGGTTTCAAACTGCTACTAGAAGTTAAGAGCTGCTTATAAATGGAAAAAGGAACCTGGCTTAGAGGATCCACATTCTTAATATGAAACATAAAATTTAAAGCTCTATAAAGGTGAATGACATTTCTCACCCTAAGACCAATTCAGGCTCTCCTCTTGGAATACACACACACAGTTATTTCCACTCTTCCATCACCATCCATGACTTCCTGGCACATTTTTATCAATCAGTTACTAGTTTAAAAATATCTGACCCACAAATTGGTTGTAACAATTACCCACGCTCTCAACTAACAGACAACAATGGCAGTGACTGAAGCACATCATGCAGAAATCCATCACAATCCTATTTATGACCTTGCTACTTCCTGAAACTTCTACAACTGCCATCAATAATTTTACCACACATAACAATGGGAGGGAGGAAACTTTTGTCAGCAAAATTATTTTTAGAAACTCATATCTGTTTATCCTTCTTTAAAGGACTTGAAGAGGAAAAAGTGCTCTTTTTCTGGGCAGCCCCAGGAGCAATTTGTCAAATTATTCAGTTTGTTACAAATAATGGAAGAAAACTCATAGCTTTGTACTCTTAGCTGGGTTGCAAATTTGATCAATAGTAAATACAAAACAAATCCCCATTGCAAATCCCAACATATCCCAACAAATTCCCAATCTCCTCACTTAATCAATGTGAAGCCAGAAGGATTAGATCAGTAAGCTGGAACGTACATATTTTAGTCATTTCTGAAGTCAGTGACTACTTTAAAAGGAAGCAGTGGGAGTGAAGTTTCTGTAAGAAGTTACAGCTCTAGAATTGAAGGATTTGAAAATTCATTTCTGTACCAGAAATACAGGATGCATTCCCCCTCTTCCTTACCTATCCAAACAGGCTAGTTCTAACAGCAAATTACTGTCTTCTCTGCTGGTTACAAAGCAGGCAACTGCATGTCTGGGGTTTCACTGCCACCTGGAGGCCCTCTTTTTCAATCAAAAAGGCTTTAAGGGTTTCTGTGGTGGAACTAGTTGATTTACTGGGCTGTAATCATGCACAGAACGTTAAAAGCACTCCTCCCAGGTTCCCCCACCATAAATTAGTAACCAGGAGCCAGCTGGTCTTACCTTGTTCACTTCAGGTGCCAAAATTTCTATCTTCCTCAGACGTTGAAATGCATCATAATCTGTTTCTCCAAACAGTCTGACCGGCTCGCCTCTCTCCCGTAACCTCCTGATAACCTGAAGAGAATCCAAATATTCCCTTACACAAACTCATAAAGGAAGGAAAATAAAATCCTGAAGGCTGGATTTCTTTACTTAGCTTAAAATAACAAGCTGTGCTGGACTGGAGAGGAAATGGCAATATTTTAAGCAGCAGAAAAACGTTCTAGACGCTTTACAATCCAAATATAAAATTCCCACGGCGTTTCAATGAAAGGTCATCCCAAATATCACCAACCTAAATCTTGCACAAACCCCAAACTGTTTCGTATATCCCAACTTCTTCCTGCTCTCACTTGTTTAAACAAATACATCAAAATCATCCCCTTGGCAGAGCTTAAATACCATTTCCAAAGCGACAGAAGAACTTGACAATCATCTCACTCGCTCTCGTTTGTCGCGGGCAATAAAGTGCTCTGCTGACTGGGCTTCATGTTGTCCCAGCACATTTGGGAGACTGGCTGGAAATTCTCATCCTTACCATTTGGTAAACATTAAGTCCCATCATCTAATGTGATAATTATTTTAAGGCTAGCTACAACTGAGGTGTAACAGCCTCCCTTGGCTGATTTGCAAGGTTATGGGCAAAGCAGAAAAGCAAACTTTATTTTCCCAGTTTCTTCTTGCATGCACTGCCTGTTAAATCTGTTTACACTTACCACTGTTTGTTTGGCGTATCAAGCAATAAGCTTACTGATACAATCACCAGGAAACACTCTGGTGACAAAGAGAAGAGCTTGCACTTCATCTCACACCATCACGTAACCAACTGTACTGACAGGACAAACCAACCAAATCTCGAACCAAACATGAAACAAATAACTCACATTAAAACTTCTGTGCCCAAAGTGTTTTGTAAAAGCAAAGGGACAACAATAACATCATCCTGAATGATCTCAGCTGAGCACTGCAGTATTTCCAGTAGATTTTATTCTGCACGTAAACTTTACTTCTGAACTTCCTACTTCTCTGCTGCTTCGTTGTCCAGATCTGTTTTATGATCTCACATTTACACCACTGTTCTTATCCTCAGAAAGAACAAAGAATGCACCAGTTGCTCCAGCTTCAGGACTTTCTTTCCCCTCACAGAAATCAAGACAAGTTTTCTAAACTCAGTTCTGAAAATTGGGTTCATATCAAAAAGCTACAAAGAAAAGAAGCTGAGAGAAATAAAGATTTGAGAAGCTCCCCGTGCCACTGTCAGCATTATCCAAGTAACAGGACGCTGTTCTAGGGGTCATCTGAAAAAGCTGTAACACATCACACCACCTATGTGCAAACCCACATGACAAAAAGGCTGCATCCATCTGCACCTCCAGATGCACTCACATGGACAAGAGATCCCTGAGGGGTAAATATTGACCCTAATTGCTGACTGCACAATGGAAATTTTTATTTGATACCACCTGACACAAAAAGCACAGATCACCAGAAAAAAGCCCTACCAAGAAATTTCAGATGCATGTTCTGCACAGTGCAGTAGTTTGCTCCTAGCTGTTGATTTTACCTCTTGTCTGGAAAGAGTCATTGGTAATTTTTCTTCTGCCAGTTCAAGTTCCAGCACTGGATTTGTTGAAGTCAGAGGCTTCTCCTCCTCTTCTTGCTGCTGCACCTACGTATAACAGACAGAGTTACTCATGAGCAAAATAAACTACACATCCATAGCAGTGTAAATGTACAGGAACTGTGGAATACAGATTGTAATACGACTATAAATCTCTTTGTTTCAGAGTTTTTGTTGTCCATTTCACAGAGCAATGAAAGCTTTCAAAAGCATCAGTGTTTACCAGAAACTGACTTCTGTAGGTTGCAGGAAGCAACCTGCAACAGGAAAGGGCAATTGCTAAGGTTTGTCAATCACGTGTCAGCACTGGTGCCAAAAACAGCAAACTCACCCTCTCTGCCTGTTGGTTCCTGCCCCTGCCTTACCCTCTTTACCTATGCAAAAGTATTTGCATCACTATGTGATGAATTAGATGGGAGAAATGATTCAAATGGGAAATAACCCAGCAAACAAAACTAAAAACTCCTCTCAGCCCACTTAATCTCCTCATCCAGCTCACCAGGCAGTAACACACACACACATGGCTACAAGGGCAGAAATGAAAAGCTAAGAGCAGAGAGAGAAGGGAGCTGCTGCTACTTGCAGCCAGCCTGAGATCTTCTGTCACTGAGAACTTCAGTGAGCTCAGCACCATCAGCGAGGATGCAGCCTTTCTGCTGGGTTTTGAGAGATGCTGTTTAAAGTAACACACCTTCCTACCAAGATTGTGTTCAGTTTCTTGCAGGTTAAAATAAATCAAAAAAAGAAAAAGAGAACTACACTTCCCCAAAAAGACAGCATCTCTTTAACAGCTTCTTTTAACCTAAAAGAAGGTGCTGGGATCAAGCAGGGTCCTGTTTGATTAAACTAACTTCAAGACAGCAGTGACATAACTATGGCTCCCTCACTTCTAATAGCAGGAGCAGATGCTGGCTAACATTCCTACAACAGAGAACATTCCCAGTGCCCAAACACATCACGTTTTTTCCTAGACTCCAGATTAGGACTTATTTCCTTTCTGGTCTCACTAAAAGGGAATAATCCTATTTAATCCTACACAGATCTGCAGCGTTCTCCCCACACAGGACAGGACGTTGTCATTTCCAGCGTGCATTCAGGTTGAAGAGTTTGGTGACTGTGCTAACCAGGTTTTTAAAAGTAGTTTATGTTCTTCCAAGCCAGCATGGTTCCATGTGCACACAGGGATCCCCCCGATGGCTGCAGATACAAGATTCAGCCACAGATCTCTATGCAACGTCATGCTATCAAACACAGAACTCAATCCCACAGTCGCAGGTGTTTGGAGCAAGCAAGGAAAGGACAATGAAATCAATGCTTTACACATAAAGGGAGGGCAAAAATAAACTTCCATCAGTGCAGGAGAGGGAACAGAAAATACAGAACACGGGATAGAAAATATGGAACTGTGCAAATATAAATACACTGATGGCAGAAGGATGTAATCAAATTTGAACTTACAAACTGCAGCATTAGGGAAAAAGATCTGGTCCATTCTCTCAGTAGGATTCCAAGTTACAAGTGATATTTTTACCGCAGTTATTTTGCTTTCAGTGCTTTCTTTTTCAAGCAAGTGAAATAATTATTAAATCTAACAAAGCAAAAGAGTACCTCAATTTAAAAAGAAATGAGTCTGTATTTTACATCTTATTAATGCAGTAAAGACCAAATGCAGAAATCTGGGAGGCTCTAAGACATACCAAACAAAGCAACTTATTTTAAAACCATTTTCAGGGTTACATTTCCAGTCAAAACCCATTTTGTAGCAGCACAGATATCCCATTTTAACAGCCGTGTATGGTTCTGAAGAATTCAGGCTAAAAAAGCACCAGGCAGTCACTTCCACTCAGAAGAGTGACCACATCCACAGACCACGTTCCCATGACTAAATGACAGCATTCCAAAAATTGCTGTGGCATTGATGTTCAAATATTTCACACACAGATCAAGGTTACAGAATAAGTCACTGAACGTGTGAAGTTCAATTGAAAACAAAGTTCCAGTTTGTGCCCAGGGACAGTAAACAGGAATGTGAATCTCTGTCTTTCTCAAGAGAATGCATATCCCCCCACATACAATATACACATACAATAACCAGGCAGGCAGGCATACACACAAGTGGCAAAGAAAACTGCATTCTTTCCATTTCAGGAAACAATTTCCCTGATATGTTACAAGGCAGGCACAGCCTTCCAGATCACTCATTTGTTTCCAAATGCACCTTCAGTTACCAATCGTTTTCAATTGTTCTGCCAGCAAAATAACACTGTGTTGCACCCTTTCAGTGCAAGGTTACTGATGGCCAAAAGAAGAAAGGCACACAGCATGACAGCGGGCAGAGTTTTGTAATATCCACCACATTACACTGATTTCTTCTGGACATTTTGGCAAAATTTTGAATGGACAGTGCATCCATTCTTGGGAGGTGGCCATATTAGATCCAGTGTTCATGCCTAAAAGCACAGTCTGAAAAGAAAGGAGACAAGCTTTGATCCCAAGCCACGTCATGCTTTCCACAAAATAAGTAAACAAACAAAGAAAAAGGAAAAGCCAAAGCATAACACAAACATAAGTAGCTGTATATCATGCATATCTTTTCCTGCATTGAAAATGGTTTTGGAAACTCATACCTCTCCAGGTGGCTTCTCATTTACAGGCTTATGTACAACATCAACAGATTGAACAAAGAACAACAATTATCATTAACAACATTTGTACTGTTGATAATAAAATGTAGACTTCAAAGCAAACATACAAGTTCCTGAAAGAAGAGTAACAATACCTTGTAGCCACATCTCTGGAAGTAGGCCTCCTCTTCTTTTTTAGCTAACTCACTGCGTTTGAAGTATTTCTTATTTCCCTAAGAGACAGGAAAACTGTTAACATTTTAAAGTTTTAAATAATTCTGCAGAAAAGGCTCACATCTCCTTACTTGACTTGTTGAATTCAGCTACATCTCTTCACAGACATGGCTACGGTACCACATTCACAGTTGGGAGCACCTCTGAAAATCAGCAACACCAAGTGACTTTGCAACATGTAAGCCTGAAAGTACAGTGTGTTCAGCAGGCCTTTAAAATCAACATTCTCTTTGCCACGTAAGATCATGGCAACAGTGAGTTAACAGAAAGCTTCCTTCAGATGTGAACAATGAGGCCCAGACTGTTTAAACATATCAGACAAAACAAGCTTTTTCAAACTAAATAAAAGGTGCTTAACGAGACCCTTCAGGCACACAGCAGCTGGTAACTGTGCCATCCAAGCCCTTGCAAGCACATTCTCACTGCCCATGATCTGTGCTGTCACACTGTGATGAGAAGCTACATCTTCAAACATATTGTTCTCAAACTGACAATAGAAGCAAAGTGAAGTAAATGTAGTCTCCCAATCTGTGTCAATCAATACGTTTTCGTTGCAGATCACGCAGACCATCCGAATCCCAGAACACCACCCTAAACCTTGCTCTAACATCAAGGCCAAGTGGTAATAGTTTTAAACTTAAAAAAGGGTTGATTTAGATTACATATTAGGAAAAAGATCTTTCACTCTAAGGATGTTGAGGCCCTGGCACAGCTGCCCAGGGAAGCTGTGGATGCCTCATCTCTAGAGGTGCTCAAGGCCAGGTTGGATGGGGCCCTGTGCAGCCTGAGCTGGAATTTGGCAATCAGCTCATGGCAGGGGTTAGATCTGGATAATCCTTTCCCTTCCAACTCAAACAGTCAAATAATTCTGTGAATTTATGAACATGGATTCCTGGTTCTCTCCCTGTTTTTCACCTGTCTAACCCAAAACAACCATCAACGCTGAAATCCATGCTCAGACATCCTCAAAAGCACACATACACTCCTCTGCAGTCCCAGCAGTGCTCCCTATAAGTAATGCGGGAAGAGAATTGCAGACGGGCAAAGCGGGCACAGCCACAGAACCACAGAATATCTCCAGATGGGAGCACATCACCGAGCCCAACTCCTGGCTCCACACAGCAGCGGCCTTAAGTCAAACCTCACGTCTGAAAGCGCTCTCCAAACGCTTCCTGCACTCCAACACCTTGGATCCACTGCCCTGCAAAGCCCGTCTCAGGGCCCGACACTCTCTGGTGAGGAACCCTTTCCTACTGTCCATCTTCAGCCTTACTTCCAACCCTGAAATAACCCTAAGGACGCTGCAAGGCCTCGACGCGGTGTCCCCACAGCCCGCCTCACCCCCACCAGCTCCTTGTCTTCCAACTGCTGCCGCTTGCGGCTGATCTCCCGCTTCAGGATATCCATGGCGCTGAGGCCTCCTCCGCCACCTCCGCGCCGGAAGTGGTGTAGGAAAACAAACCGTCACTTCCGCTGGCCGCCCAGGCCAAGCGCGCTCACAGTGCCCCCTAGTGGCTTGGAGTGGCAGCAGCGAGGGAGTGTATCGGGTGGCTGTGACCACGTGACGGGGGTGTGACAGCATGCCGTTGTCACCGGTGGCAGGGCCTGCGAGAGCAGCGCAGGGACGCTTCGAGCATTTCTTCCTTAGGTGCTCAAACTCACGCGAGGGATGGGTGCGGTGTGGACTCCCCCCATGCGTACTAGAAGTAAATCCTGCTGCCCTCATTAGCTTGGGCCTTTATCACTGTGACGTAGGCTGGGAAATAGCATAAAAAGATGCTGGGCTCTGAAGTTCCTCTCTTGTTTTCCTTATTGACTGCTTTTCACAGAATTACAGAATGGCCAGGGTTGGAAGGGACCTCAAGGATCACAAATCTCCAACCCCCCTGCCACATGCAGGGCCACCAACCTCCCCATTTAATACCAGACCAGGCTGCCCAGGGCCCCATCCAACCTGGCCTTGAACACCTCCAGGGATGGGGCATCCACAACCTCTCTGGGCAGCCTGTTCCAGCACCTCACCACTCTCTCTGTAAAGAACTTCTCCTTGACATCCAAGCTGAACCTTCCCTCCTTCAGTTTGAAACCATTTCCCCTTGTCCTGCTTTTATCCACCCTTTCAAAGAGTTGATTCCCCTCCTGTTTGTAGGCTCCCTGTTAATGTTTTCTCCATTGGTAGCCATCTTGTGCCTTGGGAAATCTGAGAGGTCCTCAAGCAATGGGTAAGAAGTCAGTTATAGGCTTAAATTCATCAGGGCTGCACCTTACTGAAAATGTTTTGAAGGCCAGCAAGCAGTGCAAAGTGAATACTGCTGTGACCTTTGTCTAGGAGCAGCCTGGTTGATGGCTGCACTTCCATCTCATAGAATCATGCAATATGCCGAGTTAGAAGGGACCCACAAAAATCCTCAAATCCAACTCCTGGCTTCACACATGACCACCCAAAATCCAAATCCTAGCTCTGAGAGCACTGTTTAAACTCCAGCAGCCTGGGGGACATCACCACTGCCCAGGGCAGCCTGTTCCATGCCCACACTTTCTGGTGCAGAACCTTTCCCTAACAACCCCCAACCCTGCTGACACAGTTCCCTCGGGAGCTGGCAGTCCCCAGAGAGCAGAGCTCAGTGCTTGCTGATGAGTTTAAGGGTGTTTTTAAGCCTAGGCTGGAGGGATATAGATTAGAAATCATGCCCTGCTTCACCTCAGGCTGGAACGCGATCACTCTGCAATGAGGAAGCGGCAACAGCCCTCCTATGCTTTTTCATATTTCTCTTAATGGAAATTATCTCACAACTGATGGTGAAAGGATCCGAGCAGATCTAAGCAGAACGGCCTGGGGAAGTGTGCCCACACTTGTGTCAGGACAGAACAGAGAGGCTGTGGAAATGCTCTGTGGTGGGTTCTATGGCAAACTAATCTGGATGCTCACATAAAAGTGACAGCTGCCTCTTTCAATCAGCTGCAAAGTGCACAAAGCCTCATGCCTTTCTTTATTTCCTGCCTCAATCTCTTGTTCAGGTTTGACATTGTATCTCCATTAGAGTCAGTACAAAAGGAAGGAGGAAAGATAAGTGACAGACAGTGTTGCCAATAATGCAATTAGTCTGAGATGGTACCTCATCCAGAGGCTTCTCTGGTTTGTAAAATTCAACGCAAACCAACAAAGTAATAGTCAAAGAAAACAAATGAACAGTTTAGATAGATCAACAGCTCTGGCTAGCTGTTTTAACACTCTACTTCTAAAAAATGTCTAAAAGTTTTCTAAAAGTGACACAAGCATCCACTTGATGCCCTTCCACTACTCCTGACTCTATGCTCATTTGCCTTCAAGCCAAAGTGTCATTTAATGTATATCCTCTCTGTATTAGAACTGGCATCTTGTCCCATGGAAGATAAATGACTATCTGCAAAACACAGCATCTTCAAAAAGAACTGCTTTCTCTATATAAATGTGTACGTATGTTGGCCTCATGGAAAAGTTCTGTGAGGGCATTCACTAGTACTTCCCTGAAGGATGAAAGGAAAAATATGTACTAGTTGTCATCCATTTTCTCAAGACTTCTCTTCCTGAAGAGATAAGAAACTCTTCTGATGTCTAATAAGAAGTATTTCCTTCCTTTTCTTTCTTTAGCAACGCAAGGAGATCCAGCCCAGCTTGCTCTCTGATTTCCAGAAGGGCAAATCTCTTTGACCCCTCTTTGCCTCAGGCTCAGGGCAGCATTTTCTGTGGGACACAAATCACTGAAACAGTTGGATCGAGCCTTGGCTGGAGTTGGCCCAAAGCTTCTGTTCCACAGAACATATTCCTGAGGGTATATCTGTGCTCATAGTTTGTTACCGTCTCCGTCTGCTTCATTACCTATCTCTCGTTCTTTGCCTATCTCCATTCAGATGTGCTACCTCGTTGTGTACCTGAAAACTCCATCTTCAAAGTCATGGCACTAAGGCCAGTTCACTCCATGGGCTCTGCTCCTTAGACAAGGTGGCACGGACACGCTGTTCTTTCACTCCATGGGACCAAGATGCCAGGTGCAGCTTTGCTCTGAGGAGCCCTGACCAAAGAAACTGCCTAGCAGCGTGCTGTGAAAGCTCACGGTTCCTTTGCTGTGCTGGCCCCTCATCCCTGCAGCGATGCTTTAGATGACATCAGCGCATCAGATATTTTTAGCATGTAAAATGGGTGCTTTTCCAAGATGTATTGCAAACCGTGTCTTTCTCATTTATCATACATGGCATTATTCTACTCATTAAATTCAATTAGATCACTGCTATAACATTTAGCTTGACTATTTTCTACTGCTCATGTTTTGCTTTTCAGGGCAGTGCTGCTGGTTTAGTACCACGATGCCTGTGTATTTCTATCTCACATGTGATTAATAAATGTTATATTTGCTGTCAGGCTGCAGCCAGGCCCTTAAGCTCTCCCAAAACCACTTGCAGAGTCTTGAGAGCTCACTGCAGCTGAGCTCAGTCTGGAAGCAATAGTATTACTAATGTTTTCTCTATATCCAGGTTTCCACAGACCTCTGGAACAACCCCACAGAGTTAACCACAAACCTACTTTGAAGTAATTCCCTTCACAACATTCCATATTAAGTCAAGACTGAAAAGGTAAATCTAGAAGCTACTCAAAATCTTGGAACGTTCACAAGAGCCTTGTAAGTATTAGAAATACAAGCTTAAAACATACACGAGGTGTTTCATTCCAATTTCTTGATGATTAACTGATTGCTCAGCTTTATCTGCTGCAAGCCAACTGTCAGCTTGCAGAGAGATTATTTGAAGGCAGCTCAGAAATACATCATTTCACTCAGACAACCCAGATGTCATCTGTTTGCCAAAGTGGTGAAGCCGATCAGAATGATTTTGGTTGTACTTAGTTGTTACATCCAGCTTATATTCAGCTTTATATTTGGTTTACATTCAGCTGTTTTTAGGTTGTATTCAGTATTTTATGGGTGTCCACTTTCACTTTCCTATTTGATATTAATACAGGGAGAAAGCACAGCTCAGCCACACACAGGAGGCAGAATTAATGCCTTTTAGCTGACCAACTCTGCAAAAGAGTTCAGGTAACACTGGGAACCTCTTTCTGGTAGGTATGTGGTTCCTTTTATTCATCTTCAAAATACAAAATGCAAAGAAGACATTTTATAAAGTTGGTTTTATGACCAAGTATGTTTACCTTTGGCAATAGGACTCTGTGTCCAGTCTCACTCTTTTATTACTTATTAAAGTAGCCCTTAACATTTTGGAAGGGATGAACCCATCTGGTTCCCCATGTTCAACTGGTTTGTTCACAGGTCACCTGCAGATATGTGACAGCTGGCAGCACCTTTGCAAGTTGCATATTCCTAAAATTCTTGCACTGGGGATGCGGCCTTTCCCTTTGCAAAGGGAATTTAAGACACTCATAGGCTTGCTTTTCTTACTTACCTTTCAGAAACCCCTACCCAGTAGCACATGATCCCCTGGAGGTCATAGACTGAGAAACACCCAGCCAGGGAGATGAGGAAAAAGGATAGCACTCCACGGGTGTCCAAACGCCACTTACAAAGACAAGAAATGCTCAGAGAAGCAATGGCAGAAAAAAATCCCCAGCATTTCTAACAGAGGTCTTCAGAAGGATATGACAGCTGTGCATCATTAGGGCTAAAAGAAGCATTTTGATTTGTTTAGGTTTGCTTTTTAAAGCTACAGTTGGTTAGCTCTCATGGCAAATGAACCTCACCATTCCTCTCTGCCAGGACAGACTTCTGTCATGCCCCAGAAAATGCTTGGGAATGTGGGGACTCCACAATGTTACTAATTAGTTAGGCTAGTATGGCTTTTAGAGACGTGCTTGAAATAACTGTTTAAATGATAACTATCCTCTGGTTTTGATTAAGGAATATTTCTTGCTCAGGTTATCCAAAGGACACGTGTCAATTCCCATCCCAGCAATTTTATTTTCTGTGAAACTGAGGTCATGTAAAAACTCATTATTGTTTCTCAAAAGCATCACATTTAAGAACAGCTAATTATCACCAAACTGGCAGGTATGGGAGATATCTCAGGATAATTTTGTTGTTTTAAGAAGCTGTGCCCATCGCTCCGTTTGCAGCACAGTGCCATCAGAGCCCCTGGTGAATCTGTGTATCAGGATCACAGACTCATAGAGTCATAGAATGGTGTGGATTGGACCTTGCGGATCACCAAGTTCCAACGCCCCTGCCACAGGCAGGATATCACCAGGGAGACTGTGCTCATTTGACAGCAGTTGAACACAGACACTGACCATTTGTCAGTGAAATCAAAACGTTGCAGGATAATGGTCATGCAATTTATATGTATATATATATATATGTCTGTAAATCATCCTCATTGATGTCACTTCAGCAGTACAGGGCAAACCACATCAGGTGGGGAGCAGTTACTCTCAGCATAAGTCTGCACGACAGATAACCTTGAGATT